TGGTGGCCGCGATTGCCTGGTCAGATGTATGAGCAGAGGCAGCGATGATCGTGCAAGCTGATGTGACGCTGGTCACAAGGCGTGACTCGAGAGATGTTCGACGAGATTGTCTCGTCTCCTACCTTCCACAACGCAGTATATATATTATTTTGAGTGTTCTATATGTATCGTATAATGCTTCCGGAACTTCCGGCTGTTTTAGATAGACCACAGACCCCCTGCGTCCCCATATGTTGAACTGATGGCTGCAAGTGATGGTTGCGCGGAGAGATGATGATATTCCACAAGAACCGCTGAAGATAAAAATGTAAAATTCGAGATCCTACATCCTCTAGCATGTATCTAGCGATCCATGTAATAAAAACACGAATGTTGTGTCAACAGCCCTCTGCGTCCCCGTCCCATCAAAAGCTCTGATGGGAAGTGATCGTTTTGAGACCCTCCACGGAATTCGATATGGGACACTCACCATTGCGCGGAATGGGGACGCCGGTGTGCGGTATCGTACCTGGGACCTCTAGCCACGATTTGTGCATTTTTCCGGATTTTTCGGCGCAGCCCTGAGGCCGGCGTCCCCCAATGTGTTAAGCTTGTAAATGGGGGTGCCGATAGATACTAGGCCAATGTAAGGGAGTGTGTACCTGGTGTCTTGACAGGGACAATGTTACAAGCAGAAGAGGTTGAAAGATTTAAATACTGTTTTTGGGTATGCTGATCCATTCAACCCTGTCTAGTGAAAACATCGTCACCGTCAAGACACCAGGTACCCAGCCCCTCTCTGACTGATGATGCTACCTTGTCTGCTCAAAACATCGTCACCGTCAAGACACCTGGTACCCTGCCCCTCTCAGGCCAACTGAGCTACTATGTCTACTCATAGCGTCGTCACCGTCAAGATGCCTGGCACCAGACTGTTTCAGTCATGTGCTCCCTGCTAGGGTAACCCTAAAGGGCTTCCCTGGCCCAGGGTAACCCAGCCCTGGGGTTAGGTCTGGCCTAGGGAATCGACCCTAGACCACTCTCTAATAACCCTAGCAAATAGATTCGAGGAGGTTTGCCTCTGGGATCCATCGTCTAATCAGCATCAGTAATTCTGATGGTGCTGGAGGAAGATGTCAATATTCCACCACAACAGCTGGTTGAATGAATATGAAACTTGGCATGTGAAATCTTACATATGTCCATGTGAGAATGCGCAAAAAAAATTGTGAGTGTTGAGTCAACTGCGGTTGGGATCCATCCTCTGATCATTGCACCAGTTTTCCAGGGTGCCAAAAAAGACGCCTTGCTGGTGTGCGCAGCCCCACCCCCTCAGACCCATGGATCCATGTGGATCCCGGGTCCAGGGGACCTTAAGCTACATGTGGGTATAATTTTCATAAAATTTTGTGGAGAAATGAGGTCAGGATCCACGTTTGCACGGGATCACATCTGGGAGGAGAAATATACATAGTGCCCCAAGCCAAGCCAAAAGATTTAGGTAATATTGCACAGTTTTGATATCCCAGCCCCTGCCGAAGCATCAGGGAGTCACATGGCTGTAGCTGCAGACCAACCCCAGACACAGCCTCCAAACTCCTGGCAAAATGAAGGATAATTATGCTGCATGCTATGACCACAGCGAGAATAGATAGATCAAAATATGATGCAATGCACCCCTACCCCTGCTCCTGTGGTTGACCCCACAGCGGGCCCTGCGGCACCCCCTGCGGCACCCCTTGTGGCACCCCCTGCGGCACCCCCTGCAGCACCCCCCGCAGCACCCCCTGTGGCACCCCCCGCAGCAGACCCCGCCAAATGATGGGATCAAGTGCATCACCAGTCCCATTGTGCAGGGTGCATTTTGGGCTTTCTAAGCTCAAATTCATGCTTAACTAGTGTATTTACCGATAGAAATGATACCAGGATGATTTGGGGAAGGCTTCCATTTTTTTGGGCGGAAAATCACGTGATTATGCGCCCATTGTCTGCCACAGCATGCAATGGATCAAGCAACACCTCCGAAATCATGCCGAATGGTGCACAAAAGGTGCCCCAAAAGTCACGTGATAATGCGCCCACTGCCCGCCATGGTGTGCGGGGGGCCAGTAGCGCCCCCGCCAACCCCCGCCAACCCCTGCTAGCCATTTTTGATAATTTTCATGCGGTGCATCACGTGATTTTTTTACCCGCCATCAGCCGCCATCCCGCCCCCATTGGATGTGTCATGTGATTCATTTTTTTTTCGCGCCCACCTGCCCGCTCCCAATGATAAATCACATGACATGTACAGACCCCCCCCCCCCTGCTGACCCCCGCATATGCCCCTGCCCCAAATGGACCAAAACCCCCCCCGCGGGCCCCGCAGGGGGGTACCTGTTGGGTCCCCTCAGTGCTACGTCTGAGGGTACCCAGTAGGACCCCCGCGGGGGTGCAACCGGGTGATGGCGGTGGTAACTGAGGTGCCCCATCCCGCGCGACGGTGACGTGCTGCTCTTCTTCCTCCTTAAGGGCGATCCGGGTCGGGTTTGTCACTGACCGAGGTCAAAACTTCGTTAGGTCGTAATTCCGTGGCCGCCCGTTTGAGATAAACCGGTACACGAATACCCGTATATGTCACTTCCATTCTGTAGCGATGTTTTCCGTATTGAACCTGATCTCTCCCACGCACTGTTCATATCGAACATCCATCTTTCTAGCCACGAATGGCAGAAATTTGCGGCATTATGAGACTTTAAGTATTCACAAACGAGCATTCAATACCCCGTTTCCTGCCTAGCAATCTTCGTGATCAGCCCCTTCTGAGCAGTCTTTGCCGACGATCGGGAGGTCATCTATTTCGGTCCTGATCGGCCGATTTCTTCATGGCCGAATTGGCACGGTCACCTTCAGTCATCCATTTGTGCATGCATCTTTCGTCCGCACTCACATGTAGAATGTCATCTGAGCCGTCTGCCGATGACGAAAGCACCACGTGTATTCGCGCTCTCACCCTCAAACCGATCGAGAACTTTCCCTCACTTGACAGTAAGCGACCAGACGACTACGCCCGCAGCATTGAATCCTGTTGTAAACCCACCATTCAGAAGTAGATTGAAGCCGCCGTAGACTGACAACTCGGCCCATCTCTTTTATTCCTGTCCTTTCCGACACGCATGCCACTTGCCAGCGCTCATTGCCGACCTTCTCACTGTAACATCAATCGCTCCCATGCTGTGGCGGCCGCGGTTGTCAACTCTGGATTCTGACTGTCTTGATATGTCGCAGGGACGTCCAAATTAGGACCTGCCCAGCGTTCACAGCGCGTCTCCGCCGTGCGGGGTCCGTATCCTCGGGTCCACTGCAACGCCAACTACCTGGTGTGCACGTCGATTCTGGTGCTATCGGAAGGAACAGAAAGAGCTCCTGTGCAGTTCTCTAGAGGAAGACAGATATGTAGGCCCGCGTCGACGTCTGCGCGAGATCACATGATGACTATTCCTTAGTTGCTGCTTGCGAAATCCAGGGCGTCCTGTTCTCCTTTTTCCTCTGTCTGCACAGTTCATCTAACACGGCTTTTACCTCGAGCGGCAGGTGGGCCTGCAAGTCAGAATAAAGGAACGGAGTCGGGCCGGAGGGCTTATGTCCGTTGGTTCAGACTGTTTTCCTTTCGGACCCCTCCCACGGACGTCACTGTTCTCGTGGTGCTGAGGAACATCCATGTCCCGTTTGGCTGGCAGCGGTCTTTCTTTACGGAATCAGGATCCCTTTGGTCCCACATCTCACATATGCTAAGACTCTCGCGCCCGGAATGCGTGAGTACGTGAGCGGGATTCCAACTTTCCCTCGTCTTATCGAGTCCGCGCCTGCGGCTCAACAAACTCAATGTGTTTCAGACTGATGGTGGAAAGTCTCCTACTCGGAGTGTTCTAAAGGTACAGTAAGACGAGCTATAAGCGTTATAAGCCCCACTACTTCGAGGCCAGGAACCGCTCAAGCCGTGTAGTCCGAGGAAAATCTCTGATCTATCCTTCGATCGACTGTTGTAGACCGCGTCTATCAGACATTGATTTTCGAGACATGCTCCTCGGGATCAACAGTGACACTATCCGAGCTCGGCAATCTTGCTTCTCTGTCATACGAGATGAACTGCTCTAGAGACTAATTTGTAGTCTAGAATGCGTGATGAATTGTGATCATCGTTGTACAACCGGGTACGCCATGTCCCGTCTAATCCCAGCCTTCACCCCTGTGCTCCGTCGAGGAATTAAGTGGTCCAACTTTGCTCAGCTTCGAACTCTCCTCAAGGGCGCAGACATCAATCTATGACTGCACCCACAATCAGTCAAAGGGAAAGATGGATGGAGCCCTGGTGAGAGTTTCGTGTGTCCACCAGAAGACTCCATACCCTCGTGCTCCATGCGAGACGTCAGATGGATGCACCAGCGAGTCCCGCAATGGTCACCAGTCATGATGGAACAGAAATTCTATTTCAGTGTTCTGCTCGCCACGTATCATGCAGGACGTAGAATCGATATCCATCCGCGTGTGTAGGTCCGTCAAGATGATCTTCGAGACTCGAGAAGATTTCAGTCCGCGGCATCATGCCGTGTCCTTTACGGCCCTGCGAAGATGCGGATCGAGGTTATATTTAAGCGGAAAGGTCTTCACGTTCTCAAATCGTATCCTTCGTCATCCTCGTCCCTCGCAGCTTGAGCCCATCCCCCCATCCTTCACTGTAGCGTTCACTATTCCTTGTTCTCCGGACAATCGAGCCACTGCCCTCTCTATGACGGCGACTCCCGGCATGAAGTTCATCCTTCACTCATTGCCAGACACATCCAGTATACCCGTGGACGATTCTGGACGAGCGCCTCAATGTGCGCATTGTGGGTGGAGGGGAGAACACGGGCAAGTCTATCTGCTCTCTTATATGTTTGCGGTTCAGTTGCTGACATGGTGCACTAGTCCAAAATGTCCTTTCGGTGAGCTGTATACAGATTCCTAGCCATGAAATTTTGCTGAGAGATTCCCGGATTCTAGCATGATGAACTGGTGCTGCTTGGGGGTGATCTCCAAGGAGCACATCCCATTTCTTCTCCGAGATCATCCTACCATCACCTGTCCAATCTTCCGTTCGCAGGCGCATCCTTCCCTACAAGGCGGAGGCCTCGAAATCACCCGCAACGGCAGATTCTGTATAACATCATATCTTGTTTTGTAACCATGTCCTATCTTGTCGATGATGCCTCATCTGCCTTCTGTGAAAATGAGGACATTGTAACACAGACATCCTATGTGAGTCATACGAGGTTCTTGAGAACTGAGCCGAGTCTTGGAGACTTGAGTCGACATGAGAGTTGTCGATGAGAATTCAGGTCTCGTCTGCAAATGCTTATCGAAACCGCGAGTTTGGAGAGCGGGTTATCTGCTACAAGCGAGCATGTGTTCATATTGCTAACAGAGAGGAGTTTGAGGAAAGAGAATCAGGAGTGGGATGTTTTTCCTGTGGTAAAAGAACGTCGAGCTTGCCTTGAGCCAGCCACAGTAACCATCAGATCTACCTGAGTCGTAGCGCGAGCCGGTCGTGAGCGAGATCGCACAGTAAGTTGATGCGCCATTGTCAATGAGATCAAATATGCAGATAGACTAGTATCCTTTGAATTTGAGGGCCTTCCAATTATCTAATTCTTCCTTCGATTGGTAGATATCCATCATCAAACGCGCCGTAGATCCCATTTTCGCTTCGAGATTCAAGTCTCACATGCATGTCACTGACAGTGCGCTATCCAAGTGTTTGAGGAGCACCGTGACCTAGCTTTCCCGGCAAAGCTCCTCAAGTTTCTGCTCAGGTCGCCTAGCCGTACAAGATTTGAAGTTGCTACTCGATACAGGGAACGAAATACGTGATCGTAAGTTGGGACAATATGAGATGACGTCATCATAAATGTGCGATGAAAGATCATGAGGCAGAACAGGAAAGATGTGTAAACGGTCAAACATGGGTCCTTCCGCACTGCGGGTAAGTAAGATAACTAGCATTGTAACCAGATACTTCGGTCCGGCCAGAATGCAAGGTACTGCACGAGTGCACAGAAAAGACTGGTGAATGAGGCTGACTAGGCCTCTCGACGGGGAGAGACGATGCTTGTCCCGGGGTGACGACGAATGTCGTAGCAGTGCTAGGGCTGCCGACATCGGGAAAATGATCGAATGTCGTGTCTTCTCTCTGGCCTGGAAACGAGGATGCCAAGGAATTGGCACGCTTCAGGTCGGCGACACTGGATCGGGACGTTGTGGACAGGGAGACCGAATCGGTCATCGAGGCGATGCCGACCCCGAACTGGATGGGCAGGGAAAGAGCGAGCGGCGTGGGCTTAGCCTTGATCTTCGGCTCGCCAAAACGACAATGGGACGGCGAGGGAGTAGAGTGCTTGGCAAAGAAGCCACTACTGGGTCGCTGGAGGCCCAAAAGCCCGCCAGCGGCCCAGAATTTGTCGGCGACAGCATGATAAGCATCCGCATAGTGCTTACGAGCCTCCGCTGCAAATCCGAAGAAAGCGAAAAAGACCATAGAGCACATGGGGCTTAGCCAGCGTGTGAGCTCGATGCCCATCCTGGTGCCCCGGTCCGCAGCCCAGATGATGCGCGGAATCTCCTCGACACGACCGAAGTCAAAATGAGCACTCGCCCACGAGACCCATGGTGAAACAGGCGAGGCGGTAGCATTGATGTAAATGGCCAGAGATGCCAGGGGGACCGTAAGCATGAGGTCCATAGAGGCAAGTGCACTGAGACGAAGGTAACGAGAAGGAGTGAGGGCATTATGTGCGGACAGGAACTGATTAAAGGCGGCACGCCGTTGAGAAAAGGCTCGAAGAGAAAGCACTGGGTCATCCTATCAATATGAATGAGCAGGAGCAGAAGAATAACCGCACCACAATACACGGCCGAGACGAGCCCAATGATGACCGGCCACATGGCAGAGATGAAGTAAGCCGGCAGAGTATTGAAGATGGCGGGGTAACAGCCGATGTCTTCGAAGATGTTGAAGCGATGGCCTTGGACAATATACTGGGCGCCAACGAAGACGGCAGGGAACACGCCACAAATCATGGAGTCGATGAGGACCGTTCTGCGTTTCTGCCCGGCTGAAAGTCAGCTCCAGATTGATTTCACCGACACAGAATGCGCACCTCAGCCTTGGTGACAACGACAGACCGCACGATAGCGATATTGTACAAACGACGATTGATGCACAGCGATGCAGCTGGCAATCCTACTGAGGCGCCCATGATGATTCGGATAGCTGTGACCAATTTGAGTGGAGAAAGAGAGAAGAAAGGCAAGGCGCACAAATCTCACACCAGGCAGGTGCGACGTTGAGGGTGTTTCCAGCCCATACCAAGGAGTTGACGAAAAGATTGAGGCAGGACAGAGACGACCAGAATATGTACCAGCATGTACCAGAGTTCCACGCCTGCATGTGCCAGGACAAGGGAATCAACGGAAGGACAAAGCCGAGACAGGCGAAGATGGAAAACGCAGGATAAGTGGGGTCGGTGTGGTGGAACCGGAGCATAGCTGCAGGTTGGTTGTAGGAAGAGACGAGAAGGAGAGAGAGGGGGGGAGCGAAGCGCAGTCTTCTGCAGTCGGCTCTGGCATTATAAAGGTCCCTTTGTTCTCTGCTTTTGCCACCTGTCGACCCGCATTGTAAGAAGATGTCACGCACACAATGGGTCACGCCCATTGTCACATTGACAGCTATGACTGATGGCTGATGGCAATCCTGATTGTTCGGGCGACTGGGTCGCGCTTGCGGCAAGCGTATCTTGGGTAATGAATCTGGCTTTTCGATAATTCTAGAGTTTCCCACAGGTAGTGAGCTGTGTTGGATTTCCCTAGAGTTTAGATTTCCGTCCTCCGTTGATGAAGGCACGATCAGGCGCGTTGGGCAAGTCGTGCTCTTCAGATACGAAAGTCGATGATCGCGGGTCCACGTGGACAGCCATGATCGGATCCATCGGTAACATTTACTAGACCGGAAACAATGCACGAAGATGATTTGAACTCCGCACCATTGTTAGCACGTTGCCGTGAAAGTCAGTTATAAAAGGACGCGAAATTTAACAGACATTCCGCCAATTCTTCTTCCGAGCCTTTGCTGCCAATAAGGATTCCCTACTCCAAATCACGCATCTTCTGCTATTCGCCATGGACGCATTCACCTCCCTCGACTCCTTGGAAGCTTTCCAGAGTTCAGCTCTCCCTGATGTCCACCATACTATCGTGATTACTCATGCTGTCCCTTGTGACGAGGAGACCCATCTCGAGTCCGGCCAAGCCGGCATGTGCACGATTTCCTGAAGAGAGTTCGTTCAAGGTTCGCTGCCCCTCCCTCTCAGCCACATCACAATAACAGGCTGCAGCTGGTCTTTGTTCGCTCTCGCTCAAGCGACCCCGTCGCCTATTACCACCCCTATGCCTCATGTCTGTTTCAGTCTTCACCGTACTTCCTTCCTAAACGCCTATGCCTTCAGCTCTAGGAGCGCTTGTAACACACTCATTGCACCATCCCTTCCTCTATCATTATCTACTTAAGTGTATACCATGTATAACTATCCCGTTCATTCACTCTCGTCGTATCCCCTGTGCCAAGTCTCCAATTCCAGAGCATTTATCACACCGCGACAGTCCCAATGAGCCGAGTCGAACATCACAAAGTTTCCGAAACTCGAAATCTTTCCGCCGACGATCCTGCAACCCGAAAGCGGTCGATACATCGCTCGCTACGCAGACCAGAATGTCTGTCATTGTAAGGAAAGTCTTTATCCCTCACAGAAGTTGTCACCTCCAAAGTCGACTGCGCTCGTCAGATGCGACAACCACCGGGTTTAGATTACTCCTAGCCACATCGTTGACAGACTAACCTTGTCGACGGTCCAAGCGACCTCTGGTTATGACATGTGGCTGTATCTGGGCATGTTTGACGTGCTTGCCTTCCCAAAGCTAGCCCATGTGACCTGGCCGTGTCTGATCTCTGTTAGCCGAAGCAGTGCAGTTACCTATGTGTACCTTTGGCTACACGACCTGGCCGATAACTAGCCTGTGGTAAGCCAGGGCTGTGGCTACGCCTAAATGCAGTGAAAATGGCCCGCGTCTGTCTCAGCATCTCATCAATGATCTTAACGCGAAACGAGAAGCGTAGGTTCCTCAACGGCCTGATTGTCGCAAAGATTTAGATCAGTTCTGCGCATCTTATAAGGCATTAGCGAATAGCAAATTCTCGTGCCCAGTAGCGTCAGGGTGGCTTCAACATGGGAAGCAGCGTGTACATGCATGAAGATGCTAGCACTTTGGTGGGACTGAAATTTTGGGATTTTTGATGCACCACAAATTCAAGTCCCACCGGAGTGTAGGGATCGAAATACCATGCAGCTATCTGATCAGCCACATCATTTCCCAGGGCAAAATACTATTAAGCCCTTTCTAGAAAATGTGTAATTGTACATCCTCAATTTGTCAACGGCGTGAAAACACGTCCTGCCGAGTCAAGTACTACAACTGAAGAACTTGATCTGCATGACCATGGAGTCTCACAGCTGAATGAGGAGTGCGAATTCTGAAGCGTGTTACGCTGCACAACAATAGGACAATAGGTTCGAAACCTTTCACCTCTTGCGAAGGAGGGTCACAGGTGTGACGAATACAATGGGTCACGTTCAAATTTCTTTGTTTGGTCACCAAAGGCAATCTGTGCCCATTGTTCTGTATTGGCCCCCGACAATGTGGCTGGGTAGGATCCTGTGGCATATAAAGGTCAAGTGAGTCCCATACTGCTGCCATTGCATTGACCACCTACTTCCGGACAAAACCCAAGCCTCATCCACTGACCCACACAATGGATTCTTTCTTTACTACGGACTCCGTCGAGCTCAGCGTCCTTTTCGTGCCAACTCTCTCACCTACCACTGCCGACGTGTCCTCCGTCGAGAATGGGTCTCCAGTTGACCTGGAGACACACAAGGGGCTCACGTCTGCAGACGCTGGCTTCTGTGTCATTGCCTGAACTATCGTGAGCGCAACCGTTTCTTGTTGATCTGTCCCATAATCGTTCCTTTCCCCAGTGTCCTGACACCCCTCAGTTTTAAACTTCGCGGGGGTTTGTGTTTTACAATCGTTGGCTCGTTTTGAATCGCATCGTCTCTGTACGTTTCTATCCTCAGGCCATTTCTACCATCCGACGCTCCTTCAGATCAGCTCGATTGCTTCGATATTTCCCGGCGCCCATACCTACACTCACTCATCCTCTCACCAGTCCCATCTTTCTCTCACAATCAAGCAAACTGTTTCCGTAACCATTTCTCATCTGTCATTGGATATCCTGTATCACTATCATTAAAACTAAATTATGTACTACGTGCTCTTGCAGAATAGCGTAAACTGTGATTGACCGATCCCCGAACCACGATTGCGCGTTCATCCCGGTGCCATCGACAACCGGAGTCTCTTCTACTATCCAGACCGCTCTGCTCTATTTTGCCCTTCGGCTGCCGTTGTAAGAGAATGGACGCTGTGTTTTCAGACGGCAATCAAACGGACTTCCAAGTCAATCGACGCAGCTCCGCAGCCTGAGTATAGTCAATGAAAGGACGCATCCCGAAAGGGAAAAGGAAAAGAGATCGCTGGATGGTGGAAGATTGTTTTGGTCGCAAAGAAATGATCTAGCTTCGCATAACGCTGACGTTAACGGTTCCTGTAAACGTATGAGAAATACTGAGGCCGGCGGGATGATATCCCGATCGGAAGAGCACCACAGGGTGTCATAACCACCTTCTAATGAACATGAGCGACTCGTTGAGCAAGAAAGTGGCGCTGGACCCGCTGACTCGGGCGACGCAATCGAATTATCGAGGTTGAAATTTCTGGGTTTGGAGAACTGCCGTGGGATTGATCAAGTCGTTTCAACGTAGTCCAAGAACAGTATCTGGCCTGATGAGTAATGTACTGTATTGCAGTAACAGCAGCCACTTCATACTTTAGCGATGCCGGTGAGGATGCATATTGGCGTGGCGCGACAGTCCCGGCTATGAGCGCAGACTCATGTAAGTAGGAGTATCGTGCCATTCCGAGTGTCTGCTTAGTGAAGCTGTGTGTGTGCGCATCTTTTGCGGATCCTTGCAATGTGCTTAACTTCTCCCTCCTTCCACCCGTCGATGAAATCTCATAACGTTCCATTGTTCTCCTTGTCCTAAGAATGGTTCTGTCATACAAATGATACCGCGCTACGGAGATTCGGCACCTTGGAACGGCAGAGTAGGCATTAGCAAAATCGACCGTAACCACCCGTGGCACGGCACACAACCGAACTGGATGCTACATATCATACATAGCAATACTACGATATTTCGGTACAAGTGAATCAAGATACAGCATATACACAGACGACCCGCACGAGTTACAACAATACAGCGATTGAGCGAGACTAGAAGAGTGGATACTCTCCTACAGGCGGATCGTCGCCGGCAGGTTTCGACGTTTCGCATCAACGATGTTCACAGTCGCCCTGCCATCTAACATCGTTCTCACCTGTCCAAATCCTATGAAACGATCGGGGTTCGTCAGAAGCTTCATGTCCCGTAAACGCATCCCAGAATGCTCCGCCCAGGCTTGATAGAAGGAAATAGCTCCCAACAACCGCAGCATAGGCAGCAAACACCTCAGCATCGACCTGGTGGTTCTCCAGAGCTTGCTGGTGGCCAAGAAGACTGGGCTTGCCGGACAATAACAAGGACGACGTGGCTTGCCAGAGACCATCGGCCGTGGATGACGGAGGCTGGAGATGTTTACTGGCCCTGGGCTCTGTAGGAAGCTTGATGACTGTAACTGGAGTCTCTGAGTGGGTCTTGTCCTGATGCTCTGGAGCATGCAGGGTCAGAGCAGTCGTGCCTTTCCAGAGATGGATGTGAGGACTACGGATACCGATCAGGATGGAGATTAGAGGAAGATGACAAAGGAAACGGACGCATCCGAGTTGCCCACAGCGGAGGAATTTGCGTCTCCGAGCGCATTGCCTCTAAGATGTGGTGCACCATTCCGTGGTCCAAGACTCGAGGCACTACACGGCATCAACGCCTTGGTGTCATCGAGGGCGGTATCCAGCTTTCCGTCCTGGAGGGGAAACTAAGCCGGGAAGGGAGCCCAAAGTAAATGACAACGAACCATGTCTGCAAATACACTCAACGAAAGCTCGGGAACAGTCACAGTATGAACGCTCGTGAAGCCTCCGCCCAGCGGAGATGAAAGACCACCCCAAAACCTCGAGTTGGCGGCCAAATCCTTGCGCACATTCGGCGTTACCAGGAGGGAAGCACGATGACTGGATGTTGATGCGAGAGAGGAGGACAGTGCAGCGGACGGCGTTAGTGCGCGAATCGGCGGTGACAGCGGGACGCGTGGCGACAGCAAGACAGTATGTGCGGGACCGCGGCTCTCGAGCAAGGCCCGCTTGAGCGCCGCTATCTCCTGCCGCAGAGCAGTATTCTCGTTCTTTGCGCTGCCGAGCTCCTCGCAGATGGCTGTGAGGACCTGGTCTCGTTCGGCGATGTTCTGCTCCAAAGTGGAGATATACTCTAGAGCACAGTCAGCTTGATGCCGTCGGAGAGAAGCTAGGGTACCCTTTCTCCGGACACGGAAATTACGTGCGCTGATCTTGTTCCGCAGCTGGCGCTTCTCCTTGCTCGTCATTTTCTGAAACACTTCAGGCGGTGGGCGCCAGTCGTCCGGAACTTCGTCTTCTTCTTCGTCTTCAGGTTGAGGGAGCAGCATCGAGGCCCGGAAGGTGGCACGGTTCTCTTTGTTAGTAGGTGCGGGACGCGAAGAAGGCGGCGGAGACCCCTTCTTCACCCCTCCGCCCACAACAGTGCCCTTCCGGTTCTTCAATTGGACCGCAGATCTGACGAGATGAGTTGCCGCCTCGTCATCCTCGGAGTTGGAGAAGGGTTCGGGTGAGAAGTCAGAGAACGCGACGGAACCCGGCGAATCGACCAGCTGTGGGTCAATGGTGAAGACGAGGCGAGTGTCGGGAAGAGAACGAGGAGCAGAGATCGACGGTGTAGAGTGAATACCGTTCAAGGAGCCCGCGAACAAGTTGTATGGGGGCGGGATGAGAGGCAGGGAGAGGCTGGGATCAGCACGCAGCGCGGCATTGTTCTGTTCCTCGACTAGGTCAAGGGGATCTAGTGTGTTTGAAGCGATGTAGACGTTGGGTTCAGGACCCGGTAGGATCGAGATGAAGGCGCTTGGGCTAGTACCGCGCGAGGATGAAGGGGCGGACGTTGAGGGTAGCGACGCGAACAGCTCGGTGTGGAAGATGTCACTGAGCTCAGAGGGAAAGTCGCTATCGAATACAGGCGGCGTAAGAAGAGGTGTTTGTGATTCGAGCTGCATCTTACTATTGGGTGTTATGTCGGTGGTCAGAGAGCGACCAGGGTTTTTGTAATGCTCGGTTAGATGACCGCCATACGCTGAGTCACTGTGATGACACGCGGAGTGACTCGGCCACGGCAACCTCTCCCTTTCCTTCTCCGACATTTCACGACATCCATGGACACGCACAAAGCACGAGGGCCCTGCCAGGAGTTTCTGTGGAGGCGATGCGGAGTGCGCGGGGCGCATTATGCCCGGTATACAGTTCCAGCCTCTGATGTCGTTTCCAATTCTCTGTTTTCACTAGCACACCATGCTCTTGTTCTCTACTGGGCAACAGAGGCCTGATCTTTGTCGAAAAACACCGCTCCCTTCTCTTTTCAAAAATACCTCAGTTATCAGAAAGGTGTCCCAATCAGCACTGCGTCGTGGACTGCGCAAGGCATCGACGGGTGCACACCGCCTCTCGTATCCGATCTAGCACCTGTATCCTGGTTTACGTCTTTATCCTCGCCTACAAGGCCGACTTCCTCTTCAAGCAGCCCACGACCCCTGGTTCCGCATTGAGCGGATGAACGCAATCTGATTAGGGCTATGGGGTGATGACGAGCACTCAATCCAAGTCACTCAGTGCTAGCCTCGGGCGCTTCCAGTGGGGCGATGTTGCTCTCCCTCTCTCATACATCGAAACGTGCACCTCGCGACTCCCTCGTTCAAGGCAGCCCCAACTGATCCTCGAGTGGCGCTGAAATCGAAACATGGCCTGATAATTGTACTCGTTGTACCATCCCGCAGCTATCGGTCTACGCTTTCCCTTCCTTCACACTGCACCCCCGCACTTGACACTGACCACGATGCCTCTCACCGCCTCTGACGAGAAAGTGATCAACGTGGGCCTTGGACATGGACACGTGTTTGAGGGCACATCCTAGTCGTCTGACCCTTTCTCGAATCGGTTTTATTACACATGTTAGCAGTTCACAAGTACGAACCTCTGATTTGATTCTGTGATCTCTGTCGCTGTGTGCGAATCTCGCGGCTCCATGCATCGTCGATTCCAGCTCAGGAGTGGGCAGGCAAAAAATGTCGCATTTCTCATGCATTAGAAGTGGATGAGAACCCGATCCTGAGGAGCAGATTCCGCTGGAGGTGAACGTGATGAGATGACCTTGTGCGACGACGCAAAATCTGTCCCAAGTGAGCGTGGTAATGCGCGTCGAACGTCGAGGGTTGGTGCGACAAAAGAGACTTCAATCGTCCGCGACTCGATTCTGATGCCAGCCGGCTTTCAACCCCAGTTTATGGATGTCATTCTCCAATGAGGTGCGGATGACGTCTTGTTTTGTACCCCAGGAGAAGTACTACCGAGTAGTGTCCGTACTTGTGTGGGCAAGGTGGCATAAACGCTTATCCTCTCTCTCTCTGTGTGATCCACTCTTAGAATACTCTACGTGAAGAAGTGCAGATAGATCGCACATGCTCAGAGAAAGGGAAAAGGCGCTAGCAAGCTGAGTGATCCGCCCGTCCAAGCGACCTAAATGAGTCCAGAGCCGCTGGTTTAGGATGTGGGAACGGATGGCGCAATATGCGATTATACTGTGACTTATAACTTGAGAAAGGTCTTCACTCGATGTATGTAGTAGACGTCCTTCGGGACTAACCAAGAGGTTAGCTCCAGAAGCTCGCTGAGTTCATCGTGGCCATTGAGTCCACAGCCGTCAATAACTGCTGGATGTCTTCCTGCACGTTCCCTGAAGCGCAAAACAGATGATGATTGAGACATGACTTGATCCTGCAGACGTACCAGAGGTCGCCGACCAGTCCCAGGCTGGCAGCAGCTCTTGCTGTAGTTTGTACATGGTCGTTTCCAGCTTCGAGAAGAATCAGATCTTGACATATCTATGATTCCGGGCACTGGCTCCACTCACCGAAACCAGCGCGCCGGGAATCTCATCCACGACAGATTTCAGACCGTCACGATAGCACACGACTGCATCAGGCTCGTCGGGCTCGTATACCTCGTGTCCTGATAGCTGAAACGTCTCGAGTGCTCCAGGTGCGCCGTCTTGCGTTCCCAGATCATAAAACTGGTCGCTAGGGCAAGATTCCTACGTCGCAGCATCAACAATCGGTGACTAGAGGTTGCAACCCATGCCATGCTTACTCACATTCTGCGGCCGACTCCACGCTGGCTTCGTCCCGGCTCCAAACTTGTCCACGATCAACCTCCGCGCGTCCTGTACTTGTCGCTCCAGAGTCTCCATTTCCACATCTGGTAGCTCCCGGATCTGACCGTGTAAATCGACGACGAGACCTTTGTGCGTTGTGGGGTGGCGGAGGAACGCCAGGGAGATGCCTGAGCCGCCCATCGAGTTGTGAGATTGAATCACCAGAATGTCGGTGGAGGCTGGTTTGAATGCGCCGCCCGGAATCTCCAGCGCTGGCATATTGGTGGTCAGAGAACAAGAGTAGATGTAACATCGTCGTCATGATCATTGCCCCAATCACGTTGTGGGATCTGCGACCAGAAGGAGTTTAATCATAAAGGCGCCCTCATCTCGAGAGTGAACGAGATTTCTGTGTATGTCCAGAACGGCATTGAGGCGGGCATGAATCCACGAGATTTGGGCAAAAGGCATGTGGTGGAGAAGCCCAGGCCCGGAGGCTCGTCAGGGCGAATGATTGATGATCAAGCTGATGCAAAATCACCAATGAATGAGCGCATCTCAGTCTTGACCTTATGCACGACACTTGCCAGTTTCCCCGGGTCGACCTCGCCGTCTAGGTTCCAATCGATCACCTCTTCCACATCTCGTTCTATGAACCAGCCGCAGTCACATCTCCTTCATTCAAAGACTGCAAAATTTACCTGGCCGCGGTTTCTCTCTTCAATACGTCCAAGGCTGTGACTCTCGACGCCTGGGGCACCTCACCCACTCATCTACCCACTATCCGGACGCGAACATATAGGGATACTTGTGAACCCGCACTCGGTTTGCGCATCTACAAAGCTCGCTGACCGGTTTCACTGGCCTTGTCTGCCCGTCCATGGAAGGAGTGTCTTGCTAAGCTCACGGATATCAACGCTTCCTTTGCGACATTGGTACCCAGTGGCAGTCTCCACCGTTATCGCTTTTGTCCGACGTATGTACTGTCGCCCCATGCTACCAAACTAACAGTGCGCTTACATACCTTCAAGCTCTTCTTCCTACTTTCTCGTCATTTCTAAACGACATGGAGATGCAAGGGCTGCTCGGCGAACATTCGACTTGACGAGACTCCCTAATCAACATCATCTTCAGAGGGATCGTCTCCAGCTCAGCCAGTCACTTAAACGAAATACGGTGCAGAACAGGCTGTACCTACTCAATCAGCTGGGCCGTCGCCGATTTCAGTCAAGGCTTTCGACGAGACGCCCTCCAGATCAGGATATCCTCTCCCCTCCATCTGCTGACGACGTACTCATACAATGCCCCCATGGGACGAACAATGAAGCTTCTCACAAGCCAGTCATGCTCGGCCTTTCGAAGCACGCCTGTCGATCTGCTCGCCCCAGACCATATGGACTTGCATCGTATCCTTTCTTATTATCTCAAGCGCATGAATGTTAGCGCATGGCGGCCTCTCATTCTCCCGAGGAGCTATTCTCCTTCACATCAGCTCCACTAGCACTAAACTCATCTTCCCTCGAGCGCTTGACGTCTTCCGTGCGAGAGCTCTCTCCGACAACATCGGCCATCCTGCCTGATCTCGACCTATTTCCCATGTTCCCCAGCGTCACCCAACCGCTGTCCTCAATTCTTGGTGCCATCCAATAATCTCTGGATACGCTTTTGCTTGCGTGGGTCATTGAACGCGAGTAAAGGCCCGAATCGCCGTCGTACCTCATGGACCCTAGTACCGTGCCAGTATCGATACAACGGATGTGGTCATCCATATCCACCAGCAGAGATAGTCTACATTATCTAGGCGGATGTCGACCGTCGGGACCTTTCGGGTTCAAGACGATGACCTTGACGCCAGGAAATCCTAATCGCACCAGGAGAAGATGGACAGTCTGCACGCGATCTCCCGCTCTCCGAACAGAGTGATGACGGATCGTGACATGCAAAGGGATCGGACACCAAGCCGTGCGAACAGCCTGAGCTGCAGTGCCGTGGAACTCCGGGCAGCGACGATCTGGACTGACGCAGGAACGTCTGATCCAGCTCGGCCAAGTCAGATGGGGTGAAGCGGCAGCGCTGGTGTCGGCACACAGCCGGCACATTCTTCCGCCCTTCTTCGGCTCTTTCTCTGGGCTCCAGACCCCCTTCGCAGAAGAACTGTCCCAGGATTTCCGTCGCCTCATGTAGCAACTGCGTCCAGAGTCCTTGATCCGAAGCCCCTCTTACGACCTTCGAGTGTTCCTTGTGCAGACTCGATCTCAAACTGGTCACCGATCTGTTCGTCGTGTCCGCATTTACTGTGTTTCTTGTGTTCATCCGTCAGTACAAGCATCGTTTACACCATCGCCCCGGCTTGCACTTGACTTGCAGAGACTCTGGCCGAAGTCCGCGTAGTTCACACGTCTATCATTCTCGGATCCGCATGTCATCCAAGACAACGAAGGGCTTCCGGTTATGAAGGTGTCTGGACAATATGCGTTTTCCCCGTCCCCAGCGAGGGCAGTGGGCTCCCTATCGCACTTTCCCTTCCGCTTGACAACAGCATGCATCCTGACACATGGCCGGCTTAGGAGTGTACTGTCGGATGTGAATGTCTTGACAGATCGTCTCTGCTCGTAGCGACCGACGTTCGAGGATGCGAGGGACGACAGACCGGCCTGAAGCTAGATACCGGACTTCACGGGTGCCTCATCTCCAGCCTGGACTATTGCAACACACGTAGACGTCGGGCGTAGCGAGCTTTGCATGGCGCAGAAGCAGATGAACATGAAGGTGCAGCAATGGCTCAGAGATACGGGGCATCGGGTCTCAACTTGCGGCGCGATGCAGTGTCTAGACCTGCAGCTTGAGTTCCGTTGCGAGATCGATGCAGATGGACGACACGGCTCGACGAAACGACGGTAGTGTGAAGGGATCCGAAAGTTTGGTCGGGTCGATCCTCAGCACATCCTCTATCTGCGGAGTTGAACAGGTAGGAACTAGCGTATCCAGCGCGTGTACTTCCCTCTCCAGAAACCCTTACCTTGACTTTTCTTGTTATCCTACTACATTTCGTCGTTTTTCCCATCACATATCCGCTACCTACATATATGTCCCATCTTGTGTGAAGTGGTCATCCCGCTATGATGCGTCGTCATCTATCTAGACAATCAACCTTCTGCCTCGAATAGCTAGTCATAGTATTGTCGACCCCTGCAAGCCACCATTTGCAGCAGAAAGAACGTGCAATCTCAGCGTGTAGTAGTTGTCTCCAAGTGCAATAGATCCCATAAGTTATCACTATAAACAATATGTATATGAGCGGATGGAGATGCAGGAACCCAAGCCCAGACGCGTCTAGAAGTTCTCTGCGCGCAAGATCAGCAACTAGATCACAAACGCCAACCGCAAAATACCGACCTTTGCCGAAAAAGTACCGCGTGCCATCCGGGTTGCTGTATGCGTTGCACTTTTCGCCAAGCGCATTGGCAATAGACGCCGGACCACAGAAAAAGACTCCCACGTCGGATTCGGGGTGTTTCTGGCTGATGGACGCGAAGATCTTGTCCCAATTCGGTCGTCCAAAGTGGGTTGGAGCCCGCAAAGAAGTTATCGCATCCTTCTCAGCACCAACGTCGTGCACCTGGGTCCGTACATGAGCGCGTTATATAACACACGAGAAGACAGAACGCACGATAATGTTGTTCATATCGTCCTCCTTGATCTTCTGGGTCAGGTAGATGTTGATCTCGATCCGATTCTGCGTGTCCTGCGTCTCGATCGCTTGCAGAAGCGAGTGGAACCATTCGGCGGTGCCAAAGTCGCGGATCACCCAAGTGAAATACACCTTCGACAGTCGAGTGGGCTTTGCCCCGCCAAAGTTGTTCATGCGATACCAGATAGCTTTAAGAATGCTACAATGGTATGAGCATTGAGATATGCACAAGATCTAGACACATACGAGGCAAATGGTGTGACACCGATTCCAGCGCCAACAAGTAGAACCGTCTCGTAGTTCAAGAACTCTTCAGAACAGGTCCCAAACGGACCGTCGACCATGACCCGCGGCATAGCCCGGCTGACTGGAGGTTGCACGACCTTGCTTTCAGACGCGGAGCCTTCACCCCGCTTCGGGAAATCGCACCCAACGGCCTTGGCCATGGCTGTCGTCCAGTCTCCCTCAACGCGAATGTGGACAGAGATATAGTCTTCCTGAGGAGCACTTTTGACGACTCATCAGCGACAAATGGCAGTCCAGGACACACGGACACACCTGGTCAACGTGAATGGATGCCATTGCCAATACGAGACCTCGGGGCAATTGACAAAGATGTACTGCCCTGCCAATGTCGTTGTCTTCTCCTTCTTGATCTGCAGCTCCATCACATTCGAGGGATGCTGGATCACCTTGGACAGGTACGTCGTGTGTCGCGAGCGGACTTCACGCAAGATACGCTCATAGATCCAGATCAGACCGCCGACGATCCAGTATCGCTGTAGCAAGTCAGTATGGCGCCAGTGAAACTATAAGAAGCACAAACCCAGAACACGCCGATGGTCTGGTACGAGCAGTAAGGGGGACGATCAGGCTTGATCATGCAGAACATGCCGTGGAGCTGCCACAAGAGGAAGAATGGGATGAAAAGATGGTGCGTATACCAGAACTTCTCAAAGCCACCGTTGGGCAGACGGCGCCGCTTTTCCATCGCATACCACACCATGACACCAAGGCAGACCCACATCACCCAGCCCGTCCAGAGCGGCCCGATGATGATGTTGGCGTACAGGAAGAAAGCGACCCGCGCGCCGATAGTCTTGAGCGAGGTGTCGGCTTTCGTGAGCCGGTATAAGTTGACGACGTGGGCGAGTGTGTGCACAAGCGACCAGATGACGATGGACCAACCGGTTGCCTTGTGCAACGTCAGGTTCTCATCAAACGGAATGATAGTTCCCAGCGGCGTGCGGCGGAGCACAGAAACGAAGTTGCGGCACACGGGGAACAAGATGAAGATGACATCAATATGCAGAAGAACAGCTGCCGACCGGGCGATGACTGCAGCGGCATCTTCAGGAAACGGAAGATGACCCGGAGAGAGAAGGAGAGAGACGAACCGAATGTGGGCCCAAATTCAGCGCGGGCCCCAAACAAGTTGTCCTTGAGGCTGTAGTGAAGGGCCCCCAAGATGAGTGCGACGAGATGTAGGATGATGAAGACGGCAAAGAAGATCTTGCGCTGGCCCTCGTTAATGAGCCACACACTCCATGTCGAGACTGCGTTCGGTTGCACCGCTGGGAGAGTGGAAGATGCATCGATCTGCTGAAGACCTTGCAGTCGCCAGCGTTCAGTCTTGTTGCGTTGAAGATGACTGCGTTCGGGGGAAGAGCGATCCATGCTTAATCTGTGCGTCTTGAGAGTGCGTTCGAAGGAGCGATGACGAGCTTGGCTCTGTGGAAGGAAAGAAGGGAAGGACCAGCCTGCAGCAGTGAGAGGATGGCGGGAGGAGATGAAGAAAGAAATGGACAGAGGGCGGTGCACAAGGCCGTTGAGACTCTCCCAGAGCGGTCGAATAGACTAGACATTCCTAGGCCGGTCCAGCCAGCGGTCGCTTCAGAGGCGTGATGGGCTCCAGAGTTGTTAACATCGCTGAGATGAGCCCAGGTTGATGCGTCGATGGTCTCCATCGGAACAGTATACATTTGAGTTGTGGAGATGTGTCAGTGTTGAAGGCTGCCTCGTGAGCCATCGTGCCTCTGACCGTCATGACGCGGTAGAAAGAGAAAGCGTGGGAACAGACAACATCAATGATGATGGCAAATCCGGACCACGAGATTTAGACACATTCCACAACTAATACAAGTCCTTGGGACCAAGGTCTATCTCCACTGGATCTATGGCTAGACCTTCGCTTGCGACACACCTGATTCCCAACCTGACGACCCTCGCTGAGGACTCTCCCCTCGGCCCTATTCGACATCTGATCAACACCCGGTCTACGCGTATCGACATGGAAGCTTTCATCGCTGGCGGTGCCAACTATGCAAGGAGCGTTAGATGCAGCTAGAGAGGAGAACCATTCTGACTCGTTCTGCCTTTTCCGGTTGTACTCCTTGAGGAACATCGTGTGTGAACAGCAGAGCTCTGCCTCTGCCGTCCAGCGATGAGCAGTAGCTCCCTCCCGCCGCGTCGTGCACTGCACAACTTCATTCGATTCTTCGTCATCCTGACGACGAACAATGTCCTGGCTTTGACCGTGCTTCAAAGGCTCATACTGAGACAACACGACGAAGCATCTGAAGCCCAGTGCACTATCTGCTAGAGCGTCGTCTCGGTCCTATGTGTTCCACTGCGCACCCGGCTCCTCAACACTCCTGGAATACATGTTTCCGTCGCGTTTTGGTTTCATCTTGACACATCACAGCGCTTGTCAGATCGCCGCAAGAGACTGATTGGCAATTCGGTGATGCCCAGCCCTTTCCTCTCGGTTTCTCTTCATGTCCACTCCGGCCGTTCTTCAATATGTCCTCTAAGGTTTGACCTGAGGTCAAAGCTGGCGAGGAGTGTCATTCTTGTTCGATCCGATTGTCCCGTGTGCCAACCGCGACTGGCAGCGACGTGAGCTGCTGAATCCAATCTATGCCAACGGCATCGATGAAGACTCACGCTTATAGAATCAGCGGAGCCCCTTCACAAACTGATGTTATCTATCCCATATTACAAACAAAGACATAGACCAACTCATAGGGTGATATCCCGAACGGTCGGCCGACGATGCTCATCGATTTACTTATCGCCTAAACTGATTTTCGTCAAGCATGCCGTTTCGCTGACGCTCGACTTGAACTGATTATGTCTGTCTAACTGACCATTTATTATTGCCACGTGTTGTTCGCGTTCATTCCTCTGTCCTTTCATTCGCACATTCCTGCTGTCAAAGATCTATCTGTACGTCTTTCCCATTCTAGGTTTCTATTCTCATACTGATTGCGGTTTGCCTGTTTGCCTGCGGCTTGCATGGGATCTTACATGCAAGATACGCGAGGCATCCAATACCGGCCGGGGCTCCGGTAGGGTGCTTGTGAGATATTGCCTATAAATTTCATACATGAGGAGTTGTTCATTTCTGTCTCATTCGCCTTGCACAATGTTCCTTCTTCCAGTCCATCTCGACCACCGCGATCTCACCGGTCACTGCGATCCCGACCTGCAGAATTGTCGCTCTCTCTTGAACATCGTCCGGGGTTGTCTGACGACCATCGCCGCCTGCGTGTGGGTCTCGGTGCATCCCAACCTTCCGGCGCCTAATCAGGGACGGATTCGGGGCATGTTCACGAGAATCAAAGTCATGCTCATTGCCATCGCAATGCCAGAGGCTGTGATCGTGTTTCCGGTACGGCAGTTCTTCGCGGCGCGCGCCTTTCCCAAGAGTGTGTTTGCCTCACTGTTTTTCTGATGAGCCAAGTTCTCATCTCCCCGCAGCATACCACGTTTCGATGACACACGGCTTCTTCTTCACCATGGGTGGTTTCATCGATACTGAGCGCCGCTCCCTTCTTACATCCGAAGATTTGGAAAGACCAGGTGTCTTGAAAAGCATTCGTGAGGTTCGAGAGGAGGACATACGGGACAAGAGCAAAGCGGATGCTCTAGCCAAGGCTTTCGCAATCCTGCAGGCCTCTTGGTTCATCATGCAATGTGTCGCTCGCGTCTTGCAGCGCCTACCCCTGACGCAAACTGAGGTTGCAACGCTTGCCTTTGCGCTGCTCAATATCGTGATGTGGCTCTTCTGGTGGCATAAACCTCTCGGGGTCAACGAAGGTATCATCGTCGAGGAACGAACAGATATCACCGGTCTTCGAAAGTACGAGCCGACCCGACCTTCCTACGCGACGTCTTCTCTCGACTGGTTCAACAGATTCATTGACGAAATGGTGGGCGCACTCGGTGGGGACTACGAAGAGCATCAACGGGCACACTCGGTGCCCGCTTTCTGGTCCGGCGAGGGTGCTGTTGAGGTACCACTTTTGGGGGAAACCGACCTTCCTACCGTCGCAGTGGTCACTGAAGCCATATCTGCGCTTATCTTTGGAGCAAGCCATTGCACAGCGTGGAATACACACTTTCCGACCGCTGTCGAAATGTGGCTTTGGAGAGTATGCTCGATCATCGTCGGACTGGGGCCAGGTACCATGGCCGTCTCCCTGTTTGTTGATTTGCTTTCCGACGGAAAGCGTTATGAAAGGTTAACGACTGTTTTATTCTACACTCCTGTCATGCTATATCCCATCGCACGCCCAGTTCTGATCATCCTCATGCTGACGACGCTCAGAAACCTGCCGTCCGAGGTGCTCTTTGATGTAGATTGGACGGGATTTATTCCACACGTAGCGTAGTCTTATTTCAAGAACAGAATTTCGACTGGACGTTTGCGTTATCCACGAACAGTGGCGATTAGCAGTTTCCTACGCCTGAAAGTGTCCTCGAGTTCCTCGGCGGTTGTGTGTGCATTTTGAGCGGCGGTTGTGATCGCGCTCCTCAGAAATGTGCGGGTTGCTGAGCAAGTAGTCATTAGCGTAGCTGCAAGCACGATGCAATAAGGGTGACCGCACTCCATCCTACTTGCGTAGATATCCTTTTGAAGCTTTTCATCCTTGATTTTAGGTTCCAATCTAGACATTAGTACGACCATTCATGTTCTTGTCGCTTGTAGGACGACTGGGGAAGAGAGGGAGACAGCAGTGTCCCAGAGCATTGATCAGCTCGTGCCTGTGCGTGTTGTAGCGTCGGGAACAAAGCAATCCTGGATGTAAACGGACAAGGAGGAGTACTCCGCGGCACGATGCGTATTTCACGGAGCAAGCAGAGCAGGTGGGCGCACACAAGGGCTTATGACATGCCGCTTGATGGATAGATGGCTGCCCAAGTATGGAAGAAAGGCACTCCTCGTAAGGCCAGATCGCCGGACAATGGGTGAACCATCAAGCCATCGTTAGGACACGCCCTCGAGGATTGAGTATTAACAATGGGTGGCAAAAGGCGTATCACATGTATGCATTGTTACCCCGCATTCCTTGATCTCGCTCCGTCTATATAAAGCCTTAGCAATCCTGCGAACGCAGATTTGCGTGAGAGACCGACCGAGATTGCTCGAGAACGGTTTTGCCGTACTAGACATAGCTCGTTACGGTCGTGCCACCCTGTCGAGTGAGTCTGCTCCAGCACCAAAGAATCGGAAAACAACTGATTATCGTATCTCTCAGCACAACAGCACGAGGAATCAGCGAACCCACACACCGATCATAGCTGACATGCCATCCATTGCCACCCGACTCTCTCTAGCCCCAGTGCTCAATAGCTTCGAGCGCCTTTACTGGATGTACTCCAGAAACGAAACCGCACTTTTGTTTCCATCGGACACTCTACCGAACTTCGGGTTGCCCCCTCCCATGGACCGACATCTTGTCAATGCGCACCAGAATCGAATTTCGGGAGACGTTCATCCGCAGCTGCAACATGTCGAAGACTGGGAACCCTACGCGTCGACTGAAAGGCCCACGGCGGTCCTGGAAAACGATCAGTGGCAGCAGGGACAAGAAGAGAATCCCCACCCTATGAGACCTGCGCTCGGGCAGACAATGAGCCCTCAGCGCGAGACCCGCAGATTCTGCACCATCGCATCTGATGACGACGAGATCGTCTCCTCCCCATATCAGCATGATAATGCTGCATACAACCCCACTATCGGATGTGAAACAACGGATGCCCGTCACCGCAGGGCCTACGCCCAGCCATTGCCAACCCTCTCGCACTTTGGCGACAGCACAGAGAAACGCCTCCCGACGTACATCCACATTGCCGGTCGTGATGTTGCAGACCCGCGAGCAGTGGTCGTCGCACAGGAGATCCAGATTGCTGAGCCACAGCCGGTGCTCGCGTGCAGAAACGATGTCATTGCAGCTCTCGAAGAGGCGGCGGCACATCAAGATCGACCATCTGGACGGGTGCCCTCGTATGCGTGTTACGAACACGCCCGTGATGGATTGGGGCGCTTCGGAGGCCGTATTGCGGGAATGCAGGGATCATGGGACCCCTTCTGCGACTGGTGATGATACACAGATGCGAATAGCATCATGCAGAGCGAAGAAACGTTGGTTGGAAATGTTCCGTACACGCTACTCGACGCAAAGAGAGCCGAACAGAGCTCCGGAGGGTGCTTGCCAAAGTGCTTTCAGCCAGATGGAGGAAGGCGCGATCAGGGTTTAGCAGCAGAGACTACCCATTCATACTGCATTGTTTTCATAGTGCTTGGGATTTTGACTTGTTCCTGTTTATGCCGATAGTGGATGCCGGAACGTCCTTGCTGCAGATTCGTGGACGGAAGTGTGATTGACGACACTTGTCACGCACCTCCTCTCGTCCCAGAGGCAGCATTCATTTCTGTTGCGTAGTTGTCACACACCGGATAATACTGCCGACAAGCAGCACACGCTCACCTGGAGACTATGACTTGGCGCAATCACATCTACCTCTCCCGTTTCTAAGAAATGAGCATTTGCCTCCACAACCTCCCCCGAATGATCAAACCATCATCGTCTACGCCTCGAAGTAGGAGAGGGCAAAAACAAGCAAGTCACGTGCAAACTCTCCGCTCTGTGCATGCGTGATGGGCAAGCGAAGCAAAACACCGTCAGATACACTTCTCTCTTCGCTTCATTCATCAATTGAGTTCGAGGCTCTGTGCGTAATCTTTTGACACTCGAAAGCATGCAGAGCATGGGTCCACTCACTGCGGTCCTCTTCGCGTGCTCTGGATCGCTCGATGAAAGTTGTTGCAAGACCGACCAAATGCAGGATCCGGTACAAAAACTTGAGTGCTCTTGGCCGACAACCTCTCGAAGACGATCAGTCACCGACTGCACCACGTCATCTCCGATCTTATGGCCCGTGCTCCCACACCTCCCGCCTAGACCATAGTTGTCCCTTTCTGTCCCTCGCTCCCATATCCTATCCAAGGGGCACTCTCGTAAAATCTCCAGCGTGAAGAACTCACATCGACTCGATCAATCGAATGGCAGTGGTGTAGCTGTCTTGTGTCACTGCTGCTCTGCATCTAACAGCGCATAAGCACATCAGCGGCTATTTGTTCACACCTGTCGTCTTGCGGATTTGTTTGGTACGCGATGCAATCGAGAACCACTCGAGGGGAATGGCACTTGATTTTGGTCCATTGGAGTGCACCCTTGACCGTGAACTGTCTTCGGAATCTGTGGTGCTTTGCTCCTGGTGGTTGTGTCATAGCCACATCTGTTCTCATCGGCATCACTCCTGTTTTGTCTCGAATGTACCTATGCAGATGTTCTTGCGTTGAGATAGGACACCTCTGTGGCACCACACGTGCCCGCTATGGACAGTATGCTTGCGACTAGCCTCTTTGCGGGGCACGACTTGCAACATCTTCATGTCGATCATGTTTCCCAAACTTACAAACGTCGAGATTGCCGTCGGAGACAACCTGACGGATCCGAGCTCTATCGCCATGGAGCAGAGTACGAATCCTTTGATTTGTGCAGATCTGCAGCCGCTGAACGGTTGTGAGTTCTTGGGCATGCGGGATGTTGATTCATCTCCACGGATAGGTCAGATGTCAGAATAGGAGCTATGAGACGGATCCAAACTGAGCACGGATTGACAGCCACGTGAAACAGCTCTGAGATGCAAACCACCAATCGAGCCGCCCGCACAGGATCGCGTTCAACAAAAATCTGGACAGTGCGGTGGAGAACATGAAGTTGTGTACGGCTCCGCTCCTCACTCCGGAATGGTGTAGGGGTTAACATTGTCGCCTCTCATATCTCATCGCGACAGCCCGGGGTTCGATTCCCCGTTCCGGAATGTTTTGCCCCCGAGCACCTCACCCATCTCGTCGTTTGCCAGCCAAGTAGGTAGCTGGTCTATGCCCCCATCTTGAGCCCTCTCTAAATCAGCCCACCTATCAGTATCACTTACATCTTCATCTAAAGTCATCTGCTTTTGCACAATGTAGGGTACCTCGTGGATATTATCAACGCGCAGCTCAAGTCTCTGAACATGCAGATCCGGAACGATGCCGAATCGATGCACTACGTCCGGATGCCCGGGCCGGGTTTGGAGCCCAGCCAATCAAGTGTTACGTGCGTGTGGGGCCAACCTACTACGTCTACGCTCGATAGGGCAAATCTCCCTCTCGCAAGCAACTATGCCCCTCATTGCGCCTCAACAGATTGGAAACAAAAGTTTCGACTACGTCATCATCGGTGTGTACCCACTCCTTAACCCTTCTGATTCCTCACGGCCATGATCCTGCTCTGGCATGATAGGCGGAGGGGTGTGTGTCTCCAGCCCTGCACTCGGCTTCTCGATCTCATTTTTGCGTAGACATCTGGTCTGACCCTCGCTGCTCGCCTGAGCGAAGATCCCGCACTTTCCGTGCTCGTTATCGAAGCGGGGAGCGCGAACCTGGATGATCCCGCGCTCTGTAGGTCTCGTCATTCATGACGTCTGAGGGTCACTAACCGATCGGTGACAAGTGTTGCCGTGGAACATGGGATCTCAGCTGGGAAATCCGGATTACGACTGGGTCTTTTCCACCGTGCGTCTCATCCACCTTGTTGATTAAGCAGACACCACCACATCGTGAGTTAGAAGGGCCAAGAGAGTCTCGGTGGCCGTCCAGTTTCATTTAACCGGTGATTGGTCCAAAACCAAGCTACCTGACCCTACCTCTCACCGATTATGATTTCCAGCGGCAAAGGACTGGGCGGGAGCTCGGCTATCAACTTTTATGCGTTCCATCTCCCGCACAGGAGCGACGTTGATGGTAAGGGGGTTGGCTATCTTGAAGCTTTGAATGGTTTTCTAAACGCGCACAGCCTTCGAGAAACTTGGAAACATCGGTTGGAACTGGGACATGCTCCGACAGTATTATAAGCGGGCCGAGGGATTCATCGAGCCAGCGACCAAAACAGAGGATGTCAGTTTCGATATCGGCTCTCATGGAACTAGTGGACCCGTCCCTGTGACATATCCCACCACAATGCTCGGCATCGAAGCCCTATTCTACGAGACGTTGCACAATCTCGGGCACGATTTTACTCCTGAACCGGTGCGTCCCGTCTTGTTGTCGCTAGTTTCTTATCTTTCGAATTTATGGGACAGTTCTCCGGTGACGTCAGTTCGATATCTTGCGTTTCAATAGCAGGGTTGGCTGATAGGAACCGCTAGACTACAGGGACTTGGTTCACACCCGTGAGCGTGGACCCGCGGACTGGGAAACGGGCCTATGCAGCTAATGTATGCATTCTTTCCCCTCCTTGTTTCTTCAAGGATCGCTGGAACAGTTATTCAGGCTTACTATCAACCGAACGCGGAGCGCACAAACCTTTCCGTTGTCGTCTCATCGCACGCGACGAAAATCGCATCCGATTCGGCACCTGGCTCCGAGTTCGAGGCAGACCGGGTCGAATTCTCAAGTGAAGGGACGCTATATAGCGTCAGAGTTGAGAAGGATGTTGTTATCGCTGCAGGGTGTGTCATCCCGTCGGCTCACTCATCGGGTACTAATGCGGAATGATAGAGCCATCATGTCGCCACAGATTCTCGAGCTCTCTGGCATCGGAAACCCAAATATTATCGCCGCTGCAGGGCTAGACGTACTCGTCAATCTGCCGGGTGTCGGGGAGAATGTCCAAGAGCACTACTATACAGGCATCAGCAGAGGTGAGTGGTGCGAATTTATGAAGTAACATCTTAATCCAAAAGCATGATAGAGGTTCGCGATGACATCGACCACGCTAAATATACTACTTTGGACGTTCTCACCGATCCTGCGACTCTTCAAGCCGAGGTCGAGCAGTAGTAGGTCGAAATCGAGGCCGTTTTATTCGCACGCTGATTGTGACGCTCCAGTGAGAGAAACGGCACTGGAATCCTTGGGTATTCAGGCTCTTGCATGGCTTTCACATCTCTCTCGTCCATAGACGACTCTGGCACTCTGAAGCACCCAACATTTGAGACGCAAACGTCCCCGGCTCTGAGAAAACAGTACAAAATTCAGATCGAACAACTCGCCCTTGGAAGACCCACCTGCGAGTTCACGTTACTGCCGCGTCTCTTTTCCTTTCCGAGTAAGCGGCCTTCCGTGCATCACCCATCTTCTAACATGAGTCTAGATCCCGCGAAAGCGGGAAAACAGTATCTCACCTGCGCTGGAATGTTCAACCACCCCTTTTCGCGCGGCACGATTCACATCAAGAACGCCAATGCGCTCGAACGTCCAGAGATTGACCCGCGTTTCTTCGAAGATCTGTTTGGTGCGCTGCAATGTTGTTCACTTTGAATTGGGTGATCGATGGCGAACAGACCTCGATGTCTTTGTCACACAACTCAAATTCTGCCGTCGGGTGCTGGAGTCAGACCCATTGAAAGGCATTCTAGGAGGTACGTCACCTCTGCTGTGTGGGTCTCATCGATCAGTTTCATGTGCCAATAGAGGAGATCAATCCCGGTCCCGGGGTCGTTACAGATGACCAGCTGGCCGGTAAGCACTTGGCAATTGATTCATTCCAGGAATACTGATGTGTTTCCTAGAATGGGCAAAATCCGTCTTCGGATCCACGTTCCGTGCGCAGAACCTTGGACATCATTCCAGGACTCTGAGAAAAAGCATGTCTAGATACGATTGGATCTTGCTCGATGTTGCCGCGTGAGGATGGTGGTGTCGTGGACACAAATCTAAAGGTCGCTGCCCTCATCCATCTTTGCTGCAAAATCTCGATTGATGTCTTGAGCCAGGTCTATGGGACTCGAAATGTCCGCGTTGTTGATCTGTCCATCATACCACTGCACATTGGTGCCCATACCCAATGTTCGCAACCCCTTATGCATATACCAAGACTTGATGGAATGTTGATTTCGTGACAGCCACAGCGTATGCGATCGGAGAACTCGGTGAAGCTCTTCGGATATCACAAGGAAAGCGGCTGACTTTAACTAGCTGCCGATATTGTTCTTGGCAAAATCGTATTCTAGCACGCAGAAGAGGCACCCTGAAATAAGCTGGAAATTTATTTTTATTACGGAGGACTCCTCTGTGTTCGAATATATAATGGAGAAATTCCACGCGTCCGTGAACACTCACGTGCGACTTGGATTGTAATCGAACAGTCACAAATGACGTGACGTTCATCTTGCGGTGATGCAGGAGTGCTCACGTGTGTCCAGCTTCCCATCGGATCTCTGCTTCTCCGTCTTCTTCGTCAGGCTTCGCACCACCTTCATCTCACACGTGGTCGTCTACATCATGCTCGAGCATGTTCTTTTTGACGTCTTTTCTCGCTGGTGCGGGGCTCCGGTCCGGGGGACTAGCAAGCTCTCTTGAGGACTTCGTCGAATGAAGCGACAACAGACAACGAGGGAGGGGCCAGAGAGGATGGAGAATGTCGTTGAAGAGACTACTGTACTCCTGCTCCATCGTGACCCAGTAACGAACAACCTATCCCTCAACTGAGCCACCGCCGGCCCGTCGACATTCCCGAGAGCAAACGGCCGAGTCGTCGCGGCGTCGGCTACGGTCCCTATTAACAGCTGAATCCTTCTGTTTCGAAACCCTCAGCACGCATGAATCAATCAGGTGGAAGAAGGACCGGTCAGGAGCGGATGGCGTCGTCGGGGGCTAACGTGGGTATCGGCGCAGCTGCACTTACTTAAAAGCCCCGCACGACCCCACTCCTTCCCCGCATCAGCGTGCATTACCCCACGCACACGATGAAACTCAGAGCCGGTCTAGTCGCTGCCGCCGTGTCCCTCTCCCTGGGTCTCGGTGCGCAAAGCCGGCGTCCCAGCCCGGTGGACTCGTTCCCCGACCTGACCGCGCGCTCCCGCACACCACTCGTCTCGTTCGACAACTACAGTCTTTCGCTCGCAGGGCAGCGCGTGTTCCTGCACTCGGGCGAGTTCCACACCTTCCGCCTTCCAGTACCCTCCTTGTGGCTCGACATCCTCCAGAAAGCCAAGGCAGCGGGCCTGAACTCCCTCAGCGTGTACACGCACATGGCTGCGATCAACCCCGCGCCGGGTGTGGTGGATTTCGAGGACTGGCGATCGTTGAAGGGACTCTGGGATGCAGCGATGGAGACGGGGATATGGATTGTCCTTCGCCCGGGTCCGGTGAGCAAGCCTGGTTTGCTGTGGAAGGATAGGTTGCTGAATGTCACTATGCCTTCAGTACATCAACGCGGAGACGACGGCCGGTGGCATCGCTCACTGGATCACATCGCAAGTCGCAGGCCAGCTGCGAAGCGATGCGTCCGATTGGGAAGCGTCGTGGCAAGATTACATCGCAGGGATCATCAAAGAGACTGCGCCGTTTCAGATCAGCCGCGGAGGACCAGTTATTGGTCTGTTTAGCTGTGACTGTCGCGCACCATCTCTTGCTGACGCGTGGTACTTCTTTAGCGGTGCAAGTTGACAACGAGTACTTCCAAGACGGTACTACCGGGCGGTACTTCGAGATGCTCGAAGCGACGTACCGCAATGCCTCCATCGACGTACCCCTCACCTACAACGACCCAGGAGAGGGATCCAACTTCATTAACGGAACTGTGAGCCTGCACATTCTCGCTTTGGATGCTGACGGCTGACGAGCACCACTAGGGCGCGGTGGATCTCTATGGGTGCCTTCTCTTCTCGAAATGTACATGCTCAACGACTGACGGACCTTAGTTTGGACTCGTATCCTCAGCTATTTGACTGCGCCAACCCGACCAAATGGAATAGTGCCCCAACCAACTACCACTCCTACCACGAACAAGCCGAGTGAGTGTCTGCCGACCGCATGCGTGAGATAGGGAATATGCTCATCTTCGCTATAGTCCCGCGCAACCGTTCTACTTCCCCGAGTTCCAGGGCGGCTCGTTCGACGCGTGGGGCCCAACTGCTCCGGGATACGCAGCCTGCGCACAGCTCACTGGCCCTGCGTTCCAGTCTGTGTTCAACAAGAATCTCTGGGCCGCAAACGCTAAGTTGATCAGTTATTACATGTTGTACGGGTGCGTATACGAACTTCTTCGGCGGGGAGACGGCACGATCTGATTGGCTATCGCAGAGGCACAAGTTGGGGAGCGTTCCCCTTCAGGTCAGTCACTGCACTGTGTCTATGATCCAACTGAGAATGAACAATCAGGGGAGTCTACTCGTCTTACGACTACGGCTCTTCGATTTCTGAGAACCGTGCACTGACGCCCAAATTCGACGAACTGAAGCTGCAAGGTATCTTCCTGCGTAGTTCGCCCGCGTTTTACAAGACGGACTGGATCGGGGATACCAGCGCAACTGGCGGGCTGCCCAATACCACGGATGTGGCCGCATTCTACACTCTGCTGAAGAACCCTGACTCGAAAAGTGGATTCTATATACTGAGACAAAGAGACTCGACCTCCACGTGCGCTATTGCTCTGGCTCCGCTGTCACTGTTCTTATGCCAGTTTACAGGGCGATCACCAACTTCAAAATGACGATTTCGACGTCGCTTTCATCGTCGTTGACCATCCCACTCGTCGTGCCACAGATCACGCTGTCTGGCCGAGAATCCAAACTTGTTATCACTGACTACGCATTCGGATCGTCGTTCGTGGATTACACGACTGCGCAGATCTTCTACGCCGGCAAAATTGGCTCGCGTGACGTCCTGTTCCTATACGGCCAGCCTTCGGAATCGCACGAGATCCGCCTCAAACTCTCAGGCACCTCAAGCTCGAGCAAGTCTTCCCTGGTCAGCCAATCCGGAAGTGTCAACGGGACGACACTCATCGCCTTACATCCCGGTCTCACCGGCCTGACGACTCTGCACGAGTCTTCCTCGCAACTGGTTCTGTACGCCGACTATGCAACTGCCGCGACGTTCTGGGCCCCAGCGCTCTCGACCAGCGGCGAGTTCGGCAATTTCTGGGCGATTGGGACGAACGACACTCTGCTCGTGGGCGGCCCGTACCTCTTGCGCACTGCCACCATCTCCGGCTCTACCCTGGCCCTCGTCGGCGATCTCAATGCGACCGTCCCACTCACCGTCTTCGGCCCGCCGGGAGTAAAGCATGTCACCTGGAACGGTGCTGCTGTGCACACTACATCGGCGTCCGCTGGGTCATTGGTCGGAAGCCTGGCTCCGCGATCTGCGGCCACGAAGATCAAGATCCCCAAGCTGGCTGGGTGGAAGTACGCCGATTCGCTGCCCGAGATCCAGTCCGCGTTCGATGATGCGAGCTGGGTTGAGGCCAACCACACCACCTCGAACATTCCGAACCCAATGAACTATGGAGATGGACGAATCTTGTACGGTTGCGACTATGGATTGTGAGTCTTGACTTCGGATGGATTTTGGACGCTGACTGACTGTTCTGCAGCTGCGAGAACATCGTGCTTTGGCGAGGGCATTTCAACTCATCGGGTGGATCGGCCGCGCCGACCAGCGCGAACCTTTCTATCAACGGAGGGGAGGGTGAGTCCTACTTCCGGCGCTCGAATTGACTGGACACTGACCAGGATGCAGCGTTCGCTGCTAGTGTGTGGTTGAATGATGTATTCTTAGGCACCGCGTTTGGAAAGTGAGTACACCCCAGTCAGCGTACAACAGACTACGATTTGGCAACAGTTCCACAAACAACGCAAACATCATCGAGGAGACTGACGAGACGTTCAAGTTCCCCGCTGGGGCCGTCAAGACCGGTGACAACGTCATCACGATCGTGCAGGATAACATGGGATTGGACGAGAGTGGTAACAGTGCGTATCTCCCACTTGCTCTCCTATCTCTTCGAGATCTTACGCTTCACCAGCCCCGGACACGATCAAGTCACCTCGCGGTGTACGCGGCTTCTCGCTCTCGCCCAGCCCGAACGCCTTCGGCAGCTGGAAAGTCCAGGGCAAAGTTGGCGGCTATCTCGGCTTCCCGGACAAAACGCGTGGAATCATGAACGAAGGCGGATTGTTTGGCGAGCGCAAGGGGTGGCATTTACCCGGCTTCGACACGAGCGCATGGGTCAAGCGCGATCTCAAGCGTGGGCTGCCGAGTGGCGGTGCTGGCGTCGGGTTCTTCGTCACCGAGCTCGATCTGTCGTTCGCCAAAGGCACGGAAGTATTCTTGAGCTTCAACTTCGGCGAGCCGCTTGGTCAGGCATACCGCGTGTATCTGTTCGTGAATGGATGGATGATGGGTAAACGGGTGGGCAATCTCGGGTGCGTGTCTTGACGACCGGTGGTCCATCATGTGTTAGTCCTCTAACTTTACGTTCAGCCCGCAAGCGAAGTTCCCGGTACATGAAGGCATCCTTGACTTCTCCGGTAAAAACACAGTTGCGGTGGCGCTCTGGTCGATGACAGACACCGCCGTCAACCCGGAGCTCGAGTTGGTGCTGGACGGTGTTCTGGATGGTGGGGTGCCTGGCGGTGTCATTGTGAACAATCCCAGCTTTTCAGCTGTTGGTAGGGAGTAAGTGAATTTGTTGTATGTATGTAAAATGGCCGACAGTGCCGATGTCATTGTTTCAAATGCACAAACATGAAAGTTACTTCAAGCCTTCGTGGGTGGCCGTGAATGCTTGGGTGTTTTGTGCGAAAAGTAACCCATAATCCGAATCTCAGACTGAAATCAAATGTGGCTTACAACAAGCACTTGCAAATCCTTGTAATTTTGTTCCTTGTGGTCAGTGATCACGAGTTTCCGCTGCATATTGTCGTACTGTGCGTTTGTGAGTCAAACATCGGAACAAGAAGCCATCTGCTTACAGGTAATTTTTTGCTAGCGAGATGGTCGGGAGAGTCGGTTAAAAGAATTATCGGATGGATATCATTGACTTGCATACTGTTTGCTTCACCAAGAGACATCTACTTCCGACACAAAAGTGAAGCTACCGGCAAACTTCGGGTGCCGTCCACCTACGTTTCTGTCTATCTGGGATCGAAAGACGGACATTTGTAAGAACGTCTGAAAATGAGCATCTACGTCAAAGTATTCTTACGAGTCACAAAGAGACATACAACATAGACTCTTACTGCAAAAAATGATATCGAACTTCCCGTAGCCACTCGTCATGCAAACTGCGATAGTATTCGTCTTATTCTTTCCCGATCCTCACAGCTGATCATACACGAGAAAATTTTGCGTCACATCGGGCCATCGGATAAAAGGACTCGCATTTCGACTAACAACACTTCAAATCTTCCTGACGACTTGTGCACTGAACACATGGGCCCGGGCCGGCTGTATCGCCTTGATGAATTCCTGCTTCAACGATGTGTTCGCCGGATCTTGCAGCAACTGGCGATGAGATGATTGGAATTCCGCAGCATGCGAAATCTAGACGTGAAAAAAAAAACCAGGCCTACCTGTTGAAGATCCTCGAAACTCTGCCGTAGTCGATGTCATGCTAAACGGTATCGGGAGCGAGACTGAGAAAATCACCTCGAAGTCCGCACGGATGACAAAATACTCCTCGGCTGGTGCTCGACCGTACGCTGCGAAGAACCGATCCGCAGCATGAGTGGCTTCGTACTATGGATCGAAAAGTCGGCCGTTGGACTCGGTAATTTCGATTCGAGTTTACGACTTCACGCCACGACTCACAGTTCGCAAGAGTTAGGCTTTGCTCCTGACACTCTCAATCTCGCCAAGTTTGTGCGCGACGTCTTGAATCTCTGCGTAGAACTTCGAGACACGGCCTGCCGGTGCTTTATACCGGCCAAATGCCACGGTATTTTTTGTCGTCGGAACCAACGGGGCCGAGGACGAGATCACTGACGTCAGCAACGAAAGCAATGCCGATTAGGGTGAAGCTCCAGCTGATCGTCAGCCTGGAAAACTGGTCTGAAGCTCGGGTCGCCGAGAATCTTCATCTCGTGAGCCTGTAATAAATGAGAAAGGAAACGAAGCGAGCGCACTTGCTCGACATTTGTTTCGCTCTACAGTTGTCGATCAGCTCATGCATGCGAGGCACAAGGTTCCAAATGGCATTGCACTGACCTCGAGTTCGTAGATCACACACGCAAGGAGCGATGATGGCTGCACACCCATGCGAGGCGCGAGACTGTCAACCTCGTTCGTGGAGAAAATCTGCATCCAGGAGCTTCAGAGACACAGTAATCGACGAAGACGAGATATCATACCAGGTGAGCGCTCAGGATGAACTCCTGGGCAGCCGCGGCACCCAGGCACATGTCTACAAAGGCATTCACCTTCACCTTGAACGCATTTTCCGAGCGGCCTGGAGGCTTTTCATGGATGTAAAAGACCGGGTTACGGTAGTTTCTGGGTCGACATGGTGGGAGGGAGAATACAGGGCCCGGCCACCCTCTTATCAGTACCGTTTCGCTACCGTGACGAGGGAGACACATCAGGTAAAAGATTGCGCATCAGGATAGCAGCGAATCGGTTTTGACCGTTCATCCACTGCCGTGTCCAGGACAAAATTTGGCAGGGGTCTCGTGCGTCGAGCTTGAAGGACAGAGAAGTCATCAATCGACGCAGAAATGCCGGCGGCGTCAAGGCACAGGACGGGCTCATTCAGGCGCTCTGCGACTTGAACATTTCGCAGGCGTTGTGGTTTCACAGTGGCCAACATTCTTCAGGCTGGCAGCAGGCGCGGAAGCAGTGACGATTGTGATGACATCAGAAAGAACAGCAAGAAGTCAGGTGTTCAATGTCACGATCAGTCACACATCAATTTCTCGGATGAAACGGGCACTGCATCTCACTGTCACTCAATTCGACTCGAACGCTGAACCTCTCCGGAGGCTTTTCTGTACATGGGACTCCAGAAATTGATAATCGGTCTTTTTCTCGCGATACCACTCGAGCCCTCACCAGCACTCCCTTGCCCCATCTTGCGCAAGAGCTGCCGGAAATCATCATCTGCTTCATCGATTGTAATAGGAACCTGGCACAGTTAGCTCTCGCGGTTCGGCCCTCTTCGGACTTGGGCACAGCGCGTGCTGTTTTGGGCGCACACTCAGAACCGATCGAAAACGATCAAAGGCCAGAGAATTCCCGAATAGCGCGTCAAATCGGCGCGTGCCTCATACTTGTGGATCTTTTCTCAACCGAGAACAATTCCGCGGATGCAGTTTCCAGTATGTGATACTTTCGTGTTCACTCTCCCGTTGGATCTCGACCTCAACGACAGCTTTTAGGATGGAACCGGTCAACGGCTCTGATCATCCGCATCGCGTATATTCCGTACGTGTCGATCGTATAGATGCATGGAGGTTTACGAGCGGACGGGAAACTCGTGAAGGGGATTCTGTCGCTCACATCTACACAGTCGCTGGGTGTCTGGGCTCCCACGCATGTTAGCGTAAAAGATCCTGCCACCTTGGTGATATTTCGGTCGGCGTGCACAACATACGAGCTTGATCGTTATATTATTCCACATGACAATCTGCACCACATGTGTCGCGCTTCCTCCTTCATGCGGACCAGTGAGCACCGCCGAGGCTACTTGCGGTGGTAGAGGTTGACGGCGCCAGATTCCCCATCCACCGGCTTGGCATCACCACCGACATGGTTGAGACCCTGACATTAGTTCTACATGCACCAATCTCGATGAGCCGTTCAGCCTAACCAATCACCCACGCTTGCACACCCCCACTGTGCGCCTTCCTGGCGTTAAAATATCTCAGCGGCAGCGTTCATTTCATCCTCCAAGTCTTTTTTTCTGCGCATCAATCATGTGGCGCCTCGACCAGCTGAATGGATTCTTCTAGGAATCCGGTCCGGTCTGCTTTGCTTCTCTCAACAGTGTCCTGCATACCCGGTGGAAGACTTTTGATTGATCGACGGGCCCGATTATGGGGAATCGCATCCGACTTTGCGGAGCCTGGAATGCACACTCCGTTACCAAGATGAAGCCGGGATAACCCATGACTGGGAAACGACCGTTTTGGTGTTCAGGAAGGGGTTAGTAAGGATCCTTTTCCTGCGTTCGAGTGCGCTGGTGTGCTGCGCTTCCCGAAGCCGATGCGCCTGGATGGAACTCTTTGGATTTAATACTGAGCTAGATTACTATTTCGATACGTACTTTGTCTACAGAACATGGGAATGGATATCATGATAAATTGCGCAGGTTCGACACTCATCTGCCTTGCCGGGATGGCAATCTCAAGCTGCAGAAAAGATGTGCGACTGGTCGGGATTTCTAGCCTGATGTGGAGGATGACCGCTTGCTGCGGAGGGCAGGCGAGGTGTATGGTGAGCTTGGTTGATTTGCTGTGTTTGGCAACGGAAGGCGAGATCCTGGCCTAGGCTGCAGATTCGCAAATCTTGTTCACGAGACATACTGGAAGTTGGAATATACACTCGATTTCCCCATTGGCCAGGGGGTTCAGGGGCAACTTTTTCAGTGTTGGCGGGCAACGCGCCTGGGTCAGGGAGGCCAAGTGCACCCGTGACTAGTGCTGCGATGGCTGCTGGTTCATATCCTGGTTGCTACATATGTATCAAACGCACCCGGGAGCGTCGCTTTTGTTGACAGTTCACTCAGGCATCGACCCCCCAAAAAAACTTCTCGAACTTTTCAATTGCGAACTGTGAAGCCGATCGGACACGGAAGTTTATGAGCAGTCTTGTGGTGACGAGACCAGACTTCAATCTAAGCACATAGTGTGGACAGTTCATTGTAAATGATCGGATGCTCTCTCCGCTCTTGTTTTTCAGTCCTGATGTTACCAACTGTTCTTCGAGAATATATCAGAAAATGACCGACATGGCCAAAACGCAGCAAGACTGCGAGTTTCATCGGCTAAGCACGTCATAATCGTGTTCGCGGCCGATCACACATCAGTATGTCGGATCAAAACGGACACAGCGTAGGTTTGCACTTTACCCCCCACCGTCACTGAGTGATCAAGCTTGAACGCCAACTTCCAAATGGAGGTCGTTTTGTGTCAGGAGCTCTCAATGATAATGACGGACCATATTCCGGCTCTATCACTTGAAACTCCTCTAGCGCCCTTGCCACATCTTCCACAAGAGCTGCGAGAGATCATCATCAACTCCATCCATTGCAAAAAGACGCTCAAATCCTGTGCACTCGCGGGCCAATCGCTTCGGATACCAGCGCAGCGTGCGTTGTTCAGAACGCTAACTTTGGATAAATCAACAACAAGAAAAGGCCAGAGGATCCACGAACAGTTCGTCGCATCGGCGCGCATCGCCTCGTACTTGCGCAAGCTCGTCATCTTCGTCCCCCGTCGGCTTGAGGCACAAAAATCAATCTGTATTCTGCTGGAGACGATTTTGCGGATGCAGCTCCCAGTATGCGAGATATTTGGGGACAGTTTTGGGTCGGATATCGACGCGGACGACGCCACTGCGGTGTGGAAGCCTCTAGCGACTCTGGTTGTCCGCCTTGCGCACCTTCCTAGCATGTCGGTCGTCCAGATTCATCGGAGTTTCCGGTCGGATGGGATGCTCATCAAGGGGATCCTCTCGTCCACATCTGTACAGACGCTAGTCATCTGGATTCGCGTGCCGCGAAGTGAACGGCCCCTTGCGGCACTCGTGTTTTCTCGGTCAGCACACACCGCATGCCAATTCGATAGCTGCATCCTTCCCCATGGAGCTCTGACACCGCATGTGCTAAGACTCCTGCGGGCAGTGCACCAGGAAGTGTTGCCGCGGCATCTTCTGGTGGTAGGGATTGACGGCAATGAATCGCCCCTGCACCTCCTCGGCTGCACCGCTCACGCAGTGCAGGAACTCACGCTCATACCACGTGTTGGGAATCTGAATACGTTTTTGAGCCTACCCTGTCTCCCTAGCCTGCACACGCTTACGCTGCGTGCCTTCCTGGTGGCGGATTCTCGTGATCGAAGCCTTACTCTCAGCGTCCACCCAATCTTCCTCGCGCTCAAATCATGCGGGGCTGCGATGAGCCTCAAATTCGTCATTCTTAGCATCCAATCCGGTCCGCTTCGTTCTTCTCCAGAGAGCAAAACTTTCCCAGTGGAAGACTTCCGATTGATCGACGCCCCGAATTTTCGGGCGTCATTTCCCGCTTTGCGGAGCGTGGAATGCACGCTTCATGTCGAGGAACACCCCGGGGCGGTGCACGACTGGGAAACGACAGTTTCTGTGTTCAGGAAAACCATGGAAGATTCGTTTCCTGCGCTTCACCGCGCCGGTGTGCTGTGCTTCTCGAAGCCGATGAATCTGGATGTATACTCCTGGGATGTGATACTGGATTAGACGAACACCCTGATACTTTAATTTTGCTTGTCGTGAGAATCTGCAGAAGAAGGGGAATCGATATCGTGACAGACCTCGGTATGGAAGTGGAGTTGAGCGGATGCTCATCTATCTGCCGGAATTTCTTCCTCAGTAAGCAGAAAAGATGTGCGACGGGTCGGGATTTCTGGACTGACGTGGAGAATTACCGCGCACTGCGGCGATCGGGCGAGGTGGATTGCAGCTCGCGCTCGTTTCTTCGTGTAGCATTCTATGCCACGACCGTCTCTCAGACGTTAGATTCGTAATTTTTCATTCAGATCGTTAAAAAGTCGGGATATACATATGATGCGTCTACTCCTCGAGGCGATTGGGATTCGGGAATAAAGTATGATAGAGATAGGGCCTTGTCGGGGTCTCCCCGTAGCTGAGACCACTAGTGGCCCATGATATTTGCTATGGATTGTTCGATCAGGACGGATTTTCCTTTGTCGGCATCTGCGATCTAGCTGTCATGCAACACCTATTTGACTCATTCACTTGATTTCGCCACAAGTGGTAAATCACGTGTTTGAGAACCTTGTTAAGAATCAGATACGATCCATGTGTTCAACGGTTCCGAGCACTGCCCTGCTCTCGATATGCCACCTGTCCTCCGTCATCTCACGATGTTTATCTACCAGAGTGAAGTAGAGTGATCGCTTGGCCTGACGACAGGGGCATGTTAAGGTCTGCACACTTTTCTGACACTGGGAAAATGTTCATCCAGCAAATCTGAATCGTACTAGTCCGATTTTTTTTATTGTTGCAAGTAAAGTCGATCTCTAGAATTCCACAGACGACACGCATTAATCCGTGATACAATACAGTATTATACAGCCCATACTTCACAAAAGCACAAAAAATCATGACACAACAAGATTGCGATATGTTCGCTCTATCCTGTTCAAGGAATGGTCTGGCAATGAATTGAGAACCCGGGATGTTTGTGAAATGGCGAATCTGACGCACCGAGCAGAGGGTTGCCAGCCGAGAAATAGCGCATTGTGCGCAGTACAGTGTCGAGATAGACACACACGTCCTGGTGCTGCGGCGTTAACCGGCCCACAGCTGTGAATGTTTGCATTTCAGTCAGCTCGCCGATGAATACATCGCAGACCGTGGTCCACAGAATCTGCAGCTGCCCATCAAGAAACGAAAGCCACTCCTTGAAGCATGCATGACTGACCGTCATAATGGGATCTATGTTCCGCCACTCAGAGAAGTCGGAGTTATTGATGATGTGCACCGCATCCCGTGCGGCAGCAATATACCTCTGTCGCGAAGCTTCGGATGTATGTCTGCGATGTGCGTGGAGCCGAATGATTGCAGCTTGTGTCAGCGTCTGGATGACTACTAGACACCTTTTGGGAACCGGGGCGAATGAAAGCTGGATACCAAGGGGGAGGCCGTCCATGAACTGCTCCAGGACGATATCGAGGGAATCGAAGGCCTGGCTCTGTGTTTTATCTGCGGTGTCGAGTCAATCACAATTGATGGGCCCCGGACAGCTGAGGACGGACCTGCACACGACACCGCACGCTCAAGCAGTATCGACGCTTTGGCATGCAATGCGAGCGACGAAAATCCGTCCACACTGACGCCCCCCAGGAACTTGCCGATTGTGTTCCCGCCCCCGAAATTGTCGATTGCGCCGCTCTGGTACTCTGCCAGATCGAGCGGCCAAGGTGTGTCGACGCGAGTGTCCGTGTAGGAAATCGCGCTCGGAGACCCGTGCGCTACGACCCAATAGTTGTTAACTATCACCGCCGTCCAAAATGCATTGATTCGTTCAGGCTCTGGCAGAGGCGGCGTCGCCCTGAGGCCAGGATTCGGCGTCGCATTGTTGTTCTCCGACGACGATTGTATGCGGTGCAGTCCGGCGCTCATCGCCAGCGACACAGCCGCACTCGAGTGGTAAGTCCCTTCCATGGCACGCCCGAGCGTCAAATAATACAGGGATAGCAAGACCTCAGCTTGGATGGCATATATCACGCGACGTGGATGCTGCCCCGCGAGGTCATGGTGCATGTTCTGCAGTGCGCAGCGCAGAAATCTGTCTTCGTGATGCGCTGCGTGAGTCTCGCCGCCGCAGATTCGTGAGAGACGCGCCCCCCAGAGGTAGACGGTACTGAGAAGTGCAGGCGACGGACGCTGAGGATGACCGGGCGAGACATTGAGGAGGGCAGAGTGTCGGAACGCGGCCCGGTCCAGGAAGAATCCGACTTGTACGAAGTGTGTCAGGAAGGAGTCGACCCTGTAGATAAGTGAGCTCTCAATCCGAGCCACGCATTTGTGAACGCCTTACAATCGTTCGCTGACATCGGCGGGCGGATCCTGCCAAATCCGGTGAGGCAGGGCTAATCTCGTCACAACGGTCCCACGCACCTCAAAAAGGAGACTAGAAGAGCTAGATGAGGGCGATGCCAAACGACTTGGCGCTGAATGAGAGCTATAATGAGTGCGCTGACCGGTCGTCTGCACACATGACTTACGCGACGTCGACCGGGGAGAAGCGGGCATACTCCACTGCCACGTCCCAGCACCGTTTTCTATGGCACCTGGCGACGCAAGAACGACATCCTCACCCCCATACGGCTCATGCAGAGTCACGCCACCGGTTCCACCGCCCGCCGCGAGCTCCAGCTCCCCGATCCGGCTCTGCAATTTCTTCACCGTCTCCTCCAGCTGCTGCGTTCGGCTGCGTCCCTCGAGCGGATACTCGCACTCATCGAAGACTATCCCCGAGGCGGACGAGCGCGTGCACTGCCCACATGCGGGTTTCCGACCATCGCACTTCTGTGTGTGCGTGACACACATGTCAGCGCGCGTGACGTGAGGCCAAAGCTGACTTACGATTTTCCTCCGCCTGGGAGAACAGTCGCACGAATTCAGTCCGATGTCATATAACGCGAGACGCGTCGAACGAACTCACCGACAGCTCATGCACGCTTTGCCCCTGGGAAGATTATGCCGCACGGACCGTGATGGGGATGCCGGAAACACATTGAGGTTGCGAGTCATTTCCGGGCCCGTACTAGTACTCAGGATTGATGATATTGGTGGTCGTTTCGATGTTGTGGAGAGTGGGGGAAACGAAATCCGGACCTCAGATGTCAACGAGCTCCTTATATAAAGGTCGTGCGTCTATCCCCATCACGAGAATGTGGTAGAATCATTTTGGCAAGGGACGAAACGAGGTGCAAGTCAGCAACTTCGGGCCGCCCGGCGGCGATGATTCGGACGACCCTGGGCCTACGGAAAGCCCCGAGGGACGGATTCACGGCAGCTTCCACCAATCACAGTGCGCTGCGGACCCATAGATGACTTCCAATGGTTCCCTTCATGGCACGAAGCTGACTCATTCCTCTGCCGTGGCTTACAATTACCTCGTTACACATAAGTGTAGCCACAGTAACCCCCTCCACCCTGCATTGTGCTTGTGTGCATGGGCTAAGCGGCCCGCATGTTCTGCGCCAGTTTCCGGCTGTAAGGGAGGAAGTAGAGAAGACGAAGCAGAAGGAAGGGTGATCACGGATCAAAAACCGACTTCGGTCATTTCCGATTTGTCAGTCAAGCATTTGAGTCATCAACGTCCGCGTCACTTCAGAATCTTGTCGACGCATTTGGATCACAGAATCCGGGAGCATGGCTCGAGATGTTCTTTCAGACTAATCACTCCAACGCTTCCTCGGAATTTACGGGTGAAATCCGGGAGTCTCGATGGTCACCGACCGTCAGAAGTAATGAACAGGGCCTAGTCTGTCTCAGATAGATAGCCAGCAGAAACTAATCCTGACACCGGCAAGATTCGGATTACGATTCAGGCAATCCAAGAAGAAGACTTGAAACCTTTGAGACACGACAGATTGAATTGCACGCATTATCTAGACCAGCTACGGCGCAGAAACCTCGAGAGCACGGTGGCTTGTTTTAATACCGTGCTTCCGGAATGAGTTGATCAAATCGATGAGTGGTAGAACGACAAGGAACATTGGCAAGACCTCGAAGTTGTTCACGCGTCGCATTGACAACGACCACGACGACGAGAGACGCACCTGTCCAAACTGCCAAGACGAGCTTCCAGCCGCCGATGTCAGGTTATTCCACCGAATGAGTAGCTCCGTGTTAACCACAGCGGGGATCCACAGCACCAGTGTGACACCCATATTGAGTATCATCGGCCACATGATCTGCAGGTCGTACCCTTGCTATGGCCGTTGGGTCGCTCGTAGAAACGAAATGTGCGCTGCGTACCTTATTTCCTGCCTCCCAGTGGTGTTCTGGTCTAGCTCCTTGCCTGCTTCGAAGTGGAGCGGAACCTCGACCGTGGTTCTGACGCCTCCCCATTTGCACTGGAACTGAATACGGGCCATCCATCGCATCTATCGATTGCCCAGCACCGTCCGAGATCTGTATTGTCACGCGGCGCAGGATCCACACGGGCACAACAGTCCCCGCCCAAGCCATGTGATCTTTCAGTAGCAGCAGCACGACGAAGATGAGTGCGAGACAGACGCCCAATAGTCCTATGACACGCCCCGCCGGCAGGGCTCGGAAGGGATGGAAGATTGCCACCACGGCGTTGGAGTTGCACAACGGTGCGTTGCCAAAGGTGGGTGCGGAAATCAGAAGTGAGAATCCCCACCCAAAGACCGCCAGGCAGTGCAGGATGAAAAAGCCGGTCAGTTTTTTGTCGTTGAGGGAGTGTCTGGCGCAGGCGGGGAATGACACGACGATCGCAAGGGTGGAGAGGCTGAGCAGGTACGATATCACGAGGCCGCTGCGGTAGATTCTTTTGGTTTCATGCCTTTTCGGGGAGGGAGCAAGACGCACTCAGGGAAGCTTATCTCTGGCTGAGCCTCAAATCCCAGAATGAGCGCCGTCACTGCCATTGCCATGTTTGTGAACATCAAGGTGTACAAGGCGTTCATAATCTCGCTAATCTCGCTCGATCGCGCGCAGAGGAGACCTGGTGTGTGAATTCTGGATCAGAGCAGTCGAGACCAGTGGAAAGGCGCCGCACTCAGAAACAGAGTCTGGAGGTAAAAAGAGAAGCGGACACCGACTCCACTGACATCAGTGTTCGTTGGGGGTCCACCACCATAGGGACAGGATAACTGGGACTGGGCCATCGAATGTGCGAAAGATGGGGAAATGGGGAGACGCGCGACATGGGAAGCAATCTGGAAGATGTCACTGGTAAACGCTGAAAGGCAGTGTAGCGCTGTTTGTTGCAGCGTTGATCATCAGTTGCGCGATCAGATCTCAAAGTTGAGGATCAGCCAGTCTAAATGGCTGAACTTCGGTACCACCTCTAGGGTGGCCAAAGCTGGGCAGCTGCAGCTTGCTTTTTCATTCTGATGATTGGTGATGTTGGTGCCCTAAAAAAATCTTGGGATAAAAGTAAATAAGAGATCTTGCAATTGTCAGGGGACGCCGCGCTCCTTGGGCACGTGACCATGCACGTGACCCGCTGCGCCCTCTCTGCCGACCCGTGCCTGCTCACCTGTCGATCACCCAGCCTCCTCCTCCTCCTCCGATCCTCACCTCCATCCATGCCGACATCCGCCCTCTCCCTTCTTCCCCTGGCCATCTCCCTCGAATCCCCGCAAGCGGTCTAGCCAAGCCCGATTCCTTGCACCAGGGAGTGCTACTGCCGTACGCACTCCTCCCCCTCTACTTCGGCCTTCTTCCCGCGGATGTGGTCTACTGCCGTACAGGCTCGTACCAGATGCCTTGCGCTCATCCGTACCACCCCTCTTCCCAGTTGGGCATTGGTCCTCGCCTCCGATGCCTCCACTGGCCGGCCCGGCACTGGCCTGGCCACTGGGCTCCTCCAGTGTGGCCTTCCACTGTTGGTGTCTCAGGAGCTGGCCATCACTGGCCCCTCTGAGCCACTCACTATCTTATCTGGGTTTGTCATTATCTACTTGTCATCTGCCATTGTTCCATGGCAGTGATATCCCATCATCATCAGTCACTTGTCACAGCTGACTATATAGTGTGACACCTGGGCACATGGATCCTTGAACCGTTCTCTAAGGATCCCCCTCTGTGCTCAGGTGAGTAGTATACCTCCCTTGTATTTGATAGTCTCTAAGGATCCCCCTCTGTGCTCAGACTCATGTGAGGTTGTTGTGTGCTGTGTGCTCTCTTCCTTCGGGCTGGCAGGAGTTGCCCTTACAGCAATCACTGCATTCCGAGGGTACCTAGCCACTTCGGGTGGCTGGTTGACCAGCTGTCATAATTCAATCACTTTTTCATCATTCTATCAACGATATTATTGAATCTCGACATCGGGTTATCTTATCATGGATCAAGGCATCACACAGTCTGGGTTAGGGGTTCATAGGGGTTATCTGTACAGAGGCTGTGCGACATGTGCTCCAGAAGGTTCTACTACAACCCATGACCAGTGCCCCATGCGGTACATAGCCTTATGACTCATTAGTTGTAGATATGACTCAGACTGGATTTGGGTATAAATACTGTAGCTATTTGGTTGTATTCTCCAGTCTTCGAATTCACTTCTCTTTTCGACATTATTTCTTGTTGATCATCACATAATTCCAAGACTCCCCTCATACTCTCCTACCTCTTACCTCTTACCCTGCATCTCTCACTGCTATGCCCGCTATATCCTCTACATCCTTATCAAACCGCTCACCTTTCTACCGAATCATCTAGTCGCTCTCTGCGATCACAGTGAAGGGTTCATATTGAGCAAACAGCACCAGGCCACGGGTAATGTTGAGCCTGACCTGTAAGGGCAACCTCGAGACCCGATCTCAGAGTTCTGGCAAGGGAGAATCCAAAGTGTCAATAGTGGTAGCTAGGTACAAGACCGGCATACCTGGCAAGGGAGAATCCAAAGAGAAACCGTGTTGGGGATTTTTCCTTGCCAGGCGCCACTATTTATATGATACAAGAACAATAGAGCGTGCAGCGACAAACAAAGAACAATGGGAACAATAAGTACAAATGGCCATTGGAGAACAATAGGAAACTGAGACAGTGGGAACAATGGGACACCTGACCATGTGCCCATCAGAGAGAAGCGCTCGGCGCGGCAGTCCGGGCCGCGGTACGTGACAGCTGACAGGTCACGCAAGTGCGATCGCATGCCAGATCCCAAGCTGATCAGTTAGAAGAGGGGGTTCCCCTGACATCACCCCCCCCTTGGATTGCGGCGCCTCGACGCAACGTGCGGATGGTGGCAGAGGGGTGCTGGAATGGAAGGGAGTCGAAGATGGCGGCGGCAATGATGCGTGGCTTTTTGGGGTGTTTGCGGTAGAATGCCGCTATAGCGTCCTCTGCAAAGATATCAGAGTGCTTAACCCACTGGTCGTGCGACGAATTGTAGCCCTTTCACCGCACAAAGTACCAAATGCTCTGATAGCGCATCTTGGCGTCCAGAACCTCTTTGACTTCCCACTCCTCGCCAGCTCCTTGGCCCATGACAGGTGGCGGCTCCTCGCGAGCCGGGCGTGTTGGGAACGGGACGTCCTCAATGAGCTGCAACTTGACGACAGGGAAGACCGGTGAAGACCAGAGAGGCGGCGAGGGAGGTCAAGCTTGTAAGCGCCGCACCCAACAACCTGGGTGACTTTGAAGGGACCCAGCCGTCGGTGAGAGAGTTTGAGGGACGGGCACGTTGTTGCTATGTCAGAAGCGTCAAGCCAGACTCGATCTCCAACCTTGATGTCTGGAGCTGAGACCCTCCGGTGGTCGTAGTACTGCTTGTACTCATCCTTTGCCTTCACCAGTGCCGACTTGGCTTCTGCCACTCCAGACGCAATGCGGTCGCGGAAGTCATTTGCCGACTTGTTCACAGCTGAGCGTAGTCCATTTGGTTCGAAGCCCATACGAGGGAGTCGACCGGTATCTGTCATGAACGGGACCTGCTGCGTGGATGAGTGAATATGGTTGTTGTAGGCAAACTCTGCAGCGGGAAGCAGCTCGTCCCAGTCGTCCTGGTTGTAGCTGGTGAAGATCCGGAGGAACTGCTCAAGCTCCTGGTTCACACGCTCGGTCTGGCTGTCCGTCTGTGGATGCCAAGCCGTAGACATTGCCGATGAGACCCCGACCAGTTTCCACAGCTCCTGCGTGAACTCTGCTATGAACTGGGAGCCGCGGTCAGAGACATACTTAGACGGCAGCCCATGGTGGCGCCAGATGTTCTTGTAGAAAAGCCTGGCGGCACCTTCACCGGAGAGCCGGGTGTGGCACTCTATAAAGTGGCTGCGCTTCCCAAGCATGTCAACAATGACCATGATAGCATCATACCCGTGAGCGTCTGGCAGATGCACAATGAAGTCAACCGACACCGCTTCCCAGCGCTCCAAAGGGACCTCTGTGGGATGGAGTTCCCCAATTGGGAGTTGGCAGAGCGCCTTGGTTTGGCAGCACAGGTCGCAGGTGGCCACATACCGGCCGACGTGTCGAGACAACTGGGGCCACCAGTAGTTCCGAGAGATCAGCTCCAACGTCTTGAAGCGGCCGGCATGCCCTGCGGCGTGGGTGTTGTGGTGCTGCTTGAGGATGCGTCGGTGGAGGTCGTTGTTGCGTGGAACCACCAGCTTGCCACGGAAGTAGAGCAGGCCGCCTTCTTTTTGCCACTCCGCAGCCCAAGCAGAGCGAACTCCGCATTCCTTGAGGAGCTCACGTGCTGCCAACACAATGGGCTCCTCCATGTCAGGGGTACCGGCAAGGGCCTCCCAGATGTTGCGCAGGAGAGGGGCTTCGGGTCCAGAGACAGTGAGACCCTCCAAGGCCCGGACATGGAACAGCTCCGGGCGCAGCAGTGTGACGTCTGCGTTGTCCGAAGCGACTCCGTGGTCGGGGCGGCGCGAGAGAGCATCCGGGCGGCCCATGAGGCGGCCAGGTTGGTGGTGCAGGGTGAAGTCGAAGCGAGACAGATAGAGGGACCAGCGGGCTTGACAACGGTTGAGATTCTGGGCCTTCCGGAAGTACTCCAGATTTTTGTGGTCGGTCCAGATCTCAACAGGGTGCTCGGCGCCCTCCAGGAAGTGTTGCCACTCCTCCAAGGCGCAGACGATGGCGAGCATCTCCTTGTCGTGGATTTCGTAGTTCCGCTGGACCTCGTTAAGACTCTTCAAGAAGAAGGCAACCAGATGCCACTTGTCATCCACGGGGGACTGCTGCGAGATGACAGCACCGGTCGCAAAGTCCGAACTGTCTGCTTCGAGGCGGTAAGACCTGGAAGCATCCGGGAGCTGCAGGACTGGGGTAGAGGTAACAGCGTTCTTCAGCGCAGGAAACGCAGCTGCCTCATTGGTGCCCCAAGTCCATGCCACGTCCTTCTTGGTGAGGTCAAAGAGAGGACTGGCAACGTGCAAAAAATCCCGGATGAACCTCTGGTAGAAGTTAGTGAAGCCGAGGAACTGCTGCACTTCCTTCTTGTTAGCTGGAGCTGGCCACTCCGCCACACCTGCGACCTTGACCGGGTCCATCTCCACATGGTTGTGGGAAATGATCACCCCAAGGTATTTGATCGACGGCATCTCGAACTCGCACTTCTCCGCGCAAAGGTAGAGCTTGTTCTCGTGGAGACGTCAGAGGACTTCGTTCATGATTTCCCGGTGACAGTGGATATTGGAATGTGCGATGAGAATGTCGTCGAGGTACACCATAACGTCGCCAGAGAGGATGAGGTCCTGAAGTATGTCATTCATCATCGTCTGGAACGTTGCGGGGGAATTGGTCAGGCCAAAATACATCACCAATGGCTCAAAGAGCCCGCGGTTTGTCCGAAACGCTGCCTTCCACTCGTCGCCTTGATGAATGCGCACATTGTTGAAGCCCCAGCGAACATCGAGTTTGGTGAAGAACCAAGCTCCCTTGAGCTTGTTGATGAGATTATTGATCAGGGGAAGCGGGTAGCAATTCTTCACTGTCATTGCATTTAGCGCTTGGTAATCTTGGACAAACCGTAAGCTGCCGTCCTTCTTCTTCACAAAGAAGACGGGAGATGCCATGGGCGATTTTGACGGCCGAATCCTGCCAGTAGCCATGCCCTCCTCTATGAAGCTGTCGAGCTGCTTCTGTTTGAGGGGGGAGACGGGGTAGACCTTACAGTTGGTCGGCTTCTGTGACAATCAACCCAAAAACAAAGTCGAAAAGAGAAGTGAATTCAAAGACTGGAGAATACAACCAAGTAGCTACAGTATTTATACCCAAATCCAGTCTGAGTCATATCT